GCGAACTCCGGCTCCTCAGCGGAAGGGCCCCTGGCGGCGGCGAGCCTGAGCGCGCAATCGCGGCGGGGGGGGGGGGCGCTGGGGGCCGGGAGGCGAGTGCTGCGACCACACGAGCTGCCAGCCAGCCAGCCAGCCAGCCAGCCCGGCAAGGCAGAGGTAAGCCCGGGGGGGGGCGAGGAGAGGCGGGCGGGCGGGGGGGGGGCGGCGTCGCGCAAACCTGTTGGCCGCGGAAGGCAGGCGGCGGGCGGGCGCTGGTCTCTGCTTTCTCTCCCGTCCTCGGCCGGTGCAGAAGGAAGGAAGGAAGGAAGGAAGGAAGGAAGGAAGGAAGGGGGCGCGGGGAGAGGAAGCCAGACAAAGGAGCGCCCGAGGGGCGTTTTGGGGGGCAGGATGGGGCCGCTGGGTGCTGCTGGCGGCGGCGGCGGGGGTGGAGCGGGATCCGGAGCCGCGAAGCAACAGGGGCAGCCTGCGCGCAGATGGGCGCCCCGGCCGTGCCAGCGCAGCCAGGGTGGGGGTCAGCGGGGCGCCCCCGCGCATCCCACAGTCCTGAAGGAGCCCCCGTGAGGGGGGGGGAGAGGAGGACCACGGTGAGGCGCCCTCGCTGCCCGCACCGCCCCGGTTTCATTGTCGTGCAGGAGAAAGCAGCGCGCACACAAAGGCGAGCGGGTGGAAGGCGCCGTGCGGAGCCTTGCGCGGAGGAGCGGGCGGCGTGGGGACGCAGCGCCCCTCGGCGGCCTGCGGGCTCCGGTGTCAACCCGGGCAGCTCGCCCCCCGCCGCCCCCGCCCGGCCCGGCCCAGCCCAGCCCAGCCCAGCCCAGCTGCGCGCAAGCGGAACTCCGGCGCACGGCGCGTCCGCGGGGAAGGCTCCCCGCGCGAAGGACGGCGCCCGGGTCCGGCTCGGCCAACGTCCGGGGTAAAAAACGGACCTCCCGTGTGGAGCCAGGCCCGCAGGGGGGAAGGAGCTGCCCCCTGCCTTCCTTCGCCCCTCCGGGGTTCCACGAGTAATGGAAAACTACTTCATGGCTGTCTTTAAAGGGCCGTTCGGCCCTTCCTTTTCTGGGTACGCTCTTGGGACGTTTGTTATTATTGCCACTACTGGATTACACTGTTAGCCTGCTTTTTGCTGTTTCCAAGACCCCAAGGCAGCGTAAAGAGCTCCCTTTTATCTGCACAACAACAACCCTGTGAGGTAGGCTAGGCTGAGAGTGAGTGCGTGGCCCACGGTTGCTGCATGGATGAGTGCGGACTAGAACCAGTGTCTCCCGGGTCCCCAGTCCAGCACCAGCGCTTCTGCCACAGCCCCATACCGGCTGCCCTGTCAATTTAGGCTGGCTATGGGCCTGACTAGACCCTGGGACTAAACTCCAGGGGCCCACCTGGGGGGGCAGTGCCCCCCAAATGAACTGGACGGCTTCTGTGGATATTGAGGGCTTCAAAGTAATTTGGGATTGGTCCCATGCTGGAGCAGTGACTTGAATGAGTTGGGACACAAATCTGTACGTGCTCAGAGGACTGGCTGGCAAACAGTTTTGCTGTGCTTCCAACATAGCCAGGCTGCGGATGGAACGTTAAAGCCCAGGGGGGCGGCTGGCAGGTGGGTTGGGGAGAGAAGGCGAGCCACCTGGTTCACAGCCGAAGAAGGACACACGGCTGTCCGAAGTGGGGGCTAAGCTCCTCAAGCCCAGCGTTTAAAACTGGCGTGGTGCATCCCTGGAGAGGGAGCATTTTTGGCAGGGCTTGTCTGCTAAGTGAGGCTAGGCCAGGGGTCGGCAACCTTAAGCACTCAAAGAGCCATTTGGACCTGTTTCCCACAGAAAAGAAAACACCGGGAGCCACAAAACCCCTTTGACATCTCAAATGAAGATAACACTGCATATATCGTTTTTTACCTTTATGCCATGTATTAAAAAATTATAGTGTTTTTTTATACATCCGGATATTTTATACATCCGGATATTATACATCTCCATCCGGATATTTTGCAGCAAAGGCTGTGTGTTTATTCTGGAAATCTTGCAACATTTGACTTTTTGTTGTTTGCCAATTTCTCACCGCATATTAAGCGTACTGGTAAACCAGTCTCGTCAGCAGTGAGAGCAAACGAATCTGCCCACGTACCAGCAAACGTTCTGTTTTCTTCTGAAACTTTTCTTTTCTTGGATTTATCCATGGTTGGCCTACCGGGGGTCGAAAAGCTCAATAAACCGCGTGCTGGCGGGTGTCGCACATCGGCGGTTGTGATGCATATTTTGAGCGACGGAGCCACAGCAGAGGGCTGAAAGAGCCACATGCAGCTCCGGAGCCGCAGGTTGCCGACCCCTGGGTAGGAGAAACCATGTTTGGCGGGACCAGGCAGGATGCCAATCAGAAAAACGAGGCTAGCCATGCAGCCTGGAGCACGTCTGTTCAGAAATAAGTGGGACCCATGGACTCGCTAGCCCATGGGGCAGCCCTCCTATGCTTCAAGCATGGAGAATTTGAACTTGGGAGTTCCCTAGTCCTACCCTCACTGGTCATTGACTGGGGAAGATGGGAGCTGTAGTCCAACTGCATCTGGGAGGCAAGGTTGGGAACCACTGCAGCCAGGCCACAGGGCTGGTTTATTGAGCTCTGGATGCGTCAGCAGATCAGCCTGGGAGGCTGTGTTAACCTTGGTGAACCAAGCTTGCCGAGTTTGAGACTGGAGTGCCCAATATTTCCAAAGGGTGGGAGAGCACAGAAAGTGACGTGTTTTGTGGACCTCCGATCAGCCACACCTGTGACTCAGAATCAACGGCTAAGGAATTTGATGTTGCTTAGTGCCAGAAAAGTAAGGATGCAAATCTTAACTTCTTTCTTGATGATGTAAAGCCAAGTTTGCAAATACACTTCCATTTAACAAAAAAGTCGCTAGCCAATCCACACTTTTCATTAGCCGCTCTGCTGACCAGAATCCAATGGTGCAGCTCGAACGAGGGCTTGTGGTCAAAATCCAGTCTCCCCTCAGCCCCTTGGGTAACCTTGTAAATCGTTTGCAATCCAATCTTAGGTTGCAATGCTAAGACCACTTTCTCAAAAATAAGGACCACCTTTTTTTTTTTTTAGTATGGCTTACACCTGAATTATGTAAATCAAGTATATGACTTCAGACAATTTTAACAAGTTTAAAATGTGTGGGAATTTGGTAATTTCCTCCTCCCTTATGTACCCACCCAGACCCTGAGGTCATCTTTTGGTCTCCATCTCCAGCTTGACAATTCACGACAAAACTTCGGCAGCAATAAATGTGTTAGTCTTCAAGGTGCAACAAGATTCTTGTTGTTTCTGCTGGAATAGGGGTGTGCTGCTAAATGGCTGTGGAAAGTGGGGGAGGAGTTTCCTTGATGACATGACAGGAGAGCCAGCCAATCACATTCATGCACAGCCAGCAACTTGTCTTTCAAACATGAATTTTTGCTTGCTTGCTTGCTTGCTTGCTTACTTGCTTTATTCAAGAGCAGAGTCTTGGGCTGTAAGGGCACTTCCAGGATGGCCTCACTTGCGATCAGAGTAACTATAGAAAGCACAGAATAGTTGTGATAGGAATAGCAAAAGGTATTTTGGTGATTCCTACAAGCAGAGACACCACTGGCGATGAAGCCCAGTCTGCACCAGCTGGGTTCAGAGATGTGGCCCCCTGAAAAGGTCATGCATAGAATGCCATTTTTCTCTTAGTGTTATGAGACTTCTCATAACCAAGTGGAGAGATGAGACTTGGCTTCAGGCTAGCTTTCAACCATTCTGTTTGTCTAAGGAGCCTACAGGTGAAAACATATTTCTCTGTGTGCCAAATCAGTTGGCTGAATATTGACAAGGGATAGATAAGAGACTTTAAAATAGAATTGCTATTAAAAAGCAAACGGTCCACTCAACTCTTACAGTTGGTATATGGAAATAATTTCCTGTCTGGCCTTATCTGGGCCGAGCTTTTTCATTTCATATCATGCATTTGCAGGCAGGTCTATTTTTCTGTTTGTTTGTTTTTAACACTGGCTGTTCACCAGCTTGTATTTGTCGGCTGAAGAATTACCATAAGGTTAATTAAGCACAACTTCATCCTGCCAAGAAATAATGCAGAGAACATCTGTACTCTTTACTAGAGGCAGCCGAAGCTATAAAAATACACGCATTGGTGTCCTTTTGGTAGAAAACACCAAAGGAGGCTAGCCTGAGTCCAAATAATGTCACTTAAAGTGCCAGCTATATACCTTCCAACGTATTTCAGAGAAGGAAAATGCTTTGTTATCGGTTATACAAATGGAAATGCAGTTACTCATCGTGCAGGAAGGCTGTGCAGTTCCATATACCCAGCAAGTTCAGCAAAAATGCCACCCTTTTGCCCTCAGCCCCGTCTGCCACTGGAATTCCCTTTCTCCCCAGAGCTGCTGCAGGAGAGAATACGGTCCTTGGCCGGGAAGAGATTCGGCACTCCTGTTTGACATCAAGACGACTGTCTGCAGGCCTGCGTAGCTCAGGGAGGGGCAAGAGTAGATCCCCAGATGCTGGAAAACAGCAGAAACAAATAATCGCCCATTAGCAATCTGGTTTTTGATCCCCATAATTCATGCGTTCTCACATCAGCCATTTCACAAGTTAGCTTTACTTTTCTATCAACAGTTGCCGGTTTGCACTGTCTACTATTAGTGACGTTCTTTTCAACAGCTCCGCATGTTAAATGTAGACAGATCTATCGATGCAACAAAGGTCTCCAAGGGATGAAAATAATTCTTTTCACATGGGCTGTGAACCGATCTGGGCGCAAGCGGTCATCTGAGCTTTCTGCCTGCTAGTAGCGGCTTGCTTTTCTTTCGTGTCAAGCCCTTGCCACGCACAACAGAGACCCCGATACGAGGACTTTGTTTCACTGGCCAGACAAGCATTGCACAAACAGGTATTCTCAGAATAAGTATTGCTCTTCTCTAGAGACTGTGTTGCGATGTTTGTTAAGAGTGTGAACTCTCCCTGCGCTCTGTAGGCCAAGAGCCATGGGCTCCGCTGGGGGAGAACCCTTCAAGGACATCACCCCCGTGGCGACCCCCGAGGGGAGCGTGGTGATGAGCTTCAGCTTTGACAGCTACCAGCTGGAGGGAGAAGAACTCCAGGCAAAGGGAGTCCTCACCTTCATGGAGCCGGGTGAGATTCACAAGCAGCTGCTCGCCAGGCGGCTCCCACAAAGGGTGTGCCTTTTAGTGGCAGCTAAGCACCTGATACTTAGAGATGCTTTTCCTCCATGCTTATGCTTGTGGCTGCAGCTTTGGACCGCCGGAAGCTACAAGGCAGCAAAATATTGCTCCTGTGCAGGGTTGCAGCCAGCCATGCCCTCTTCCACAAGCTCCATTCTGTTCCACACAAGGTTTTCCCCACCCTCAGACAGTTGGCAATCTGTGTTGATTGAGGATGCACAGTCCTTGTAGGCCTGCTCTGGGGCTTGGGTTTTTGTTTTGCTCCCTTAGATTTCCCCCATTAAAGATTGGATGGCTAATTCATATAGAGATGCAAATTTAGGAATATTGTGGTTGGAAGAGCAACCAGGACATCGTCCCAAGTGTAGACCATGGTGCCCAGTTGAGCTGTGTGCCTTATTCCATCCACTGCCCCAGTGCTGTTTGTGAGTAATGCCAGGGAGCCTTTGCCCTTCCTTTGGGTGGTGGTGTTGCCTTTATTATTTTAAAATTAGACGTGGACTGCAGAAAGAGGAGACCTTTAAATTAGAGGTCATTCCTCTGACTGCCCCAGAAATAGCCAGGGTGGCTTACAAGGTTCCCCTCTTTTCAATGTTATCCTCACAACAACCCTGTGAGGTAGGCCAAGCTAGGAGTCTGTAATTGCCCCAAGATTACTGAGTGAGCTTCATGGCTGACCGGGGATTAGAACCCAGATCACGTGAGTTCCAGTCCAGCAATCCAGCCACACTGGCTCTCCCCAGAGGTCCCTGTAACCATCTTCACCAAGAGCAGCCTTGCCTTTGTACAGATTCATAGAAACAGAGAAACAGAATGAGTCAGAAGGGGTCTCCCGGGCCATCTAGTCTGACCCCCAGCTCCAGCCAGTTCCACTCACAACATGCCCACCCAGCCTATCCTTGAACACCCGCACCGATGGGGCCTCAATGACCTCCCGTGGAAGCCCATTCCATACCCTGGGGGTCCTAACCGTCATGAAGTACTTCCTGGCATCCAAATGAAACCTTGGCTCCCTGAGTTTTGCTCCCTTGGAGCGCGTCCTGCTTTCCTCTGCAGGGGAGAACAGGCCTCTACCCACCTCTGTGTGACACCCCCTCACATACACCAACAGATCCCCTCGAGGTCTCCTCCAGGCTGAAGAATCCAGTGGATTCTATTAAACTGCTTTCCAGGACCTCCACTCCTTAATCTCCGCATATTTGTTGGCCCTTTCTCCCTCGATACTTTGCTATTTAGCTACAACAAAGATCTGGTATTTGCAGACCTCCGGAGTATCTGCTGAGAGCTTGCAATTTGCCGAATGGAATTTAATCAGACTGGTATTTATTGTGCACTATCCATCTTCCCCATTGGTGCGAGACACCCTGTAAAAGCCTCCCGTTTCCAAACATCCCTGCCAGTATTCGTAAAATTAAAGCAAAACGGGCTGGCTCAGGCCCTTCTTTGCAAGCTGGAATGAGAGGGATGCCGAGCGGCCACTCTTTAATATTTCCTAGTTTTATCCATCTATGTCAGCTGGTCGCACATGAGTCAATATTTTAACGTGCATTCAGCTGGCCCATCTTTGGCTTGCACCTTCGGCATGAGAACTGCAGTCTGATGTTCACTGAACTGAAGGAAACGCCACTGGGTGGAGAGACTTCTGGAAGACTGCAGTGCATATAAATATTATTACAATTGTATTGTGGAGGATGCCAGAATAGTAGCGTTGCTCGTATTTATCTAGCTCCTGGATAAAAGGGGATTTGGGGGGGGTCGCTGCCTTGGGATTTCGGGGTCGCATGGCTTTTACTTGTCCTTTCTCTCTCCTCTGGGGCTGCAGTCTGCGAAGAACCGGAGCCCCAGGATCGCTACCATGGGATTTATTTCGCCATGCTTCTGGCCGGAGTGGGGTTTCTCTTGCCTTACAACAGCTTCATTACGGACGTGGACTACCTGCATCACAAGTATCCTGGTATCATTTTACCCATATTTCTAAAATGCCAAAGTTATCGATTGAGGCTGTTTTGCTGGCCACGGGCATTTGGAAACATAGAAACGGAGCGAGTCAGAAGGGCCCTCCTGGGCCATCTAGTCTGACCCCCAGCTCCGCTCACAACATGCCCGCCATGGGCATGCCCAGCCTTTCCTTGATCATTTGGGCATTCACTGCTTCATTAAAGTTTCTGAAGCAAGAGCCATGAAAATCGGGCATCGGCTCAGTGCAGAGTTCAGGCAAGGGGAAAGCTCAAGGCCTGATTGTGCATTGAGTGCGAGTTGTTGTCCAAACGTGTGTTATTCGATGGTCTGAACCCAGTTGTGCCAACAAACCATGGTTGGCTAAGCACAAAAAAACCATGAAGAGAAGCCATGCTTGAGAACCAATGAGGTGCAGGCTTTCAAGTGCTGGACTGGGACTAGAAAGACTGAGATTTTAGTCCCCGCTTGGCCAAGTTACTCACTGGGTGACTTTGGGCCAGTCATGGCCTCTCAGCCTAATCAACCTTGCAGGGTCGTTGTTGTGAGGACACAGTGGAGGAGAGTGGAATCTCATAAGCTACCTTGGGTTTCTTGCAAGAGGAAGAAGGGCAGGGTATAAAAATACTGAACAAAGAGGAGGAGGAGGAATGGTCTCTTGTGAAGTTGTGAGCTGTGGGTTGTTCACCACAGTTTATCATCTCAGATGAGATTAGACAACACAATAACGTGTGGTTCAGCAACAACAATCCACATTCAACCCACGCCCAGCCCGTGAGGGTGAATCATGTGGTCTGAACCCAGTCAGGATGATAAGCCACAGACAACCCATGAAGAGCACCCACCGTCTGTTGCACTGCGAACTGCTCCTGGCAACCCATGCCGAACCCCTAATCATGGTTTCTAACTAGCTACTCATTGTCCCTGAATCCAAACAGGGATGCAGGGAGGGTGAAAGCCAAGTGGCACAGCAGGGCCTCCTTGGATGCTGTCCGTCTCAGCTTAAAACAGATGAAAATGGAGCAATTTCCAAACGTTTTTGGAGCTGAATCTTCCAACTCCTGCCCTCAGCAGCAGCCGTGACATTGCACAGATGTCAAGAGCGGCTTTCTCCCAACATCCATGCTTTGATTCCGTGTTTCATCAGCCAGGGAGGAAGCTGGAATGCTTAGCCTGAAATATATTTGGAAATTATTCTATTATAGATGCCATTGCTATACATAGCCAGAGAGCTCCTAAAAAAGGATTGTAATAGAAAGTGCTCTGTGGTCAGTGGATGCTCGATATGCAGAGAGCAGTTCTACGGAAGGAAGGAAGGAAGGAAGGAAGGAAGGAAGGAAGGAAGGAAGGAAGGAAGGGAGGGCATGGGATGTTTCCGTTGCACTGCCCCGTCCACCTTCCTCCAGCATCGCTTTCCCGCTCACTGTCCTTCCACAGGGACCTCCATCGTGTTCGACATGAGCCTCACCTACATCTTGGTCGCTTTAGCTGCCGTCATCCTCAACAATGCCCTGGTAGAGATGCTCAGCCTCCACACGAGGATCGCTGTGGGTACGTCCAGCGTCTTGCTGCCTTCTTACCTCACCTCTAGCCCTGCCTCCTTGAGACGGGCTTGCCGCTATCTTGAGGAACACCCTTGTCCACAGCCATCTTTGCTTTATCATCCTCTTTCTTAAAATAGGCAGGTCTCGTGAAAAAATGTGGACTTGCTAAAACAGGGGCATGGATGCAGGAGGTCAAGCGGAATCCAAACCTTCCACGTGCAGTCCCTGGTTGCAGTCCCCGTACATGCCTTATGGTCTTTTCGGTCATATGATTCACCCAAGCAGCATAGCAGTTTTTAAAAGCTGTGCTTGTGCCTTTTTAGATCTCCCGCTGACGTGCTCTTGGTCTCTACCGCGGCTTTATAAGCGTACACAGATTATGTTCTGTTGCATTGCAGTGGGAGAGGTTTGGATTCTGAGCTTTGCTTTGTGAACCATCTAGAGAGCATCGGCCAAAAGACAGTGTGGAAGTGTAAAGCACAGCGCAAGCAGAGCACCCGGGAACTGCGCGTCCGCTTCTCCTTGCGACCTGTTGGTTTCTTGCCTTTCACCCTGGCCCGAACCGCCCTGGTGATGCGATGCGCAGACGGGAGATTCTGCTCCAGCCTTGCTCACTCGCCTGGGAAAGAGCGCGGCTTCTCCAGACAGTCCTCGGCCCCCGGCAGCTCTTATTCAGAGATGAATGATGTGCTGCCTCTTTGCATCTCGTCTGTTGCAGGGTACCTCTTTGCCCTGGGCCCCCTCCTCTTCGTCAGCATCTGTGACGTCTGGTTGGATCTGTTCCCCCGGCGGCAGGCCTATGCCATCAACCTGATTGCAGTGGGGGTGGTGGCCTTCGGTTGCACAGGTATGCGTGAAGATGGGGCTTGGGGGGGGGGCAGCTACAGGGAAGTATCTTTGCTGTACACGGAGCCCTTCGGCTCACTCCAGGCCCCACCCCCTGTTTTTTAAAAATCAGCACGCAGTTCCCAGAGGAACAACTGTCAGACTGCTGTAAGTAAAACCAACAAGAAACCTGCAGCAGCTCAAAGGGATAAGCGATTCATTGTGGCAGATGTTTCCTTGGATTCTGGTTCTTTTCAGGGGTTGCCTTTACCAACATAAAAATGTGGACACCCCGCCTTCCCACCTCCAGAAGGGAAGTGTCCGAAGCAAAGAACACCACAATGCCACAAACAACTCCCTTATCAGGGAAAAAAGAAAGTAACTGGCTAATAAATCAAAACAGCAACAACATCATAATAATCATCCTCAACGACAATAATATTGTTGCAAAACATTTATATCCCACTTCTTCCTCTTGTAATGAACTTTTCAGAAAAATTCCCCTTCCCCTTGGTTCCTGGTGGTGGTTCCTGGGTTCAATTTGAGGCGTTGGTTTTACTCTTTAGAGATCGGAATGGGTTTGGCATGAAAGGTCCCTGACTATTAAGCTCTGCAGGCAGGTCCCTTTGGAAGACACCTTTACCTGCAGAGACTTTTTTGTCTTACATGCATGAAAAGCCTTTCTTCTGTGTGACTCCCAAACCTCCTCCTCCTCCAAGAATGATGACCCCCCCCCCCCCGGTTTTTAGAAAGTACATACCAGTGCATCATTTTAATTTATTTATTTATTTAGGAAGCTTCTGTGCCGCCCCATTCACCGAAGCCTCGGGGCGGCTCACGTCATTAATCTGGCCTTTAATGTCCTGGTGTGTGATGGTTTGCACTGTTCCTGCAATTTTATTGTTTCGGTTTCAGTGGCGTCGTGCCACCTTGAAAGCTATTTAGCAAATGAGCCAGAATATAAATGTTAGCAATATAAATACTAATACTAAGCAAGGCTGGATTAAGCAGAAGAAGAAGGGTCCAATTCGATGCTGGAGCTGGGAACACCAATGCCTTTCGTCTCAAGGGGCATAGAATTTCTTCTTAAGGTAGCCTGGTTTGGGCTCGAAACGGATCCCCCAGACCCATGTGGCGTTTCAGCTGCCGCTTGCTGATCTTGGCGTAATAACAACCCTCCTTCTTTCTCACCCCTGTCTCCCCTTTGAAGTGCAGCAATCCAGCTTCTATGGCTACACGGGGATGCTGCCAAAGCGCTACACCCAGGGCGTGATGACCGGCGAGAGTGAGTATTCCCTGCAACCCGTTCCTCCGGGAGCAGAACTCTGCAACCATCGTTATATTTATGGCCCTTGTTTAGCATAGAATCACAGCATCCCTGGAAGGGGCCAATAAGGTCCAACCCTCTGCGCAATGCAGGAAGCGTGCCTTTCAGCACAAACCCCATGGTTCCCCACCTCCTCGTTTTACCTGCACAGCCCCCTGGGAGGTAGGACAAGCTAAACAAGCGTGAGAGGTTGGCAAGGTATGCAAGGGCCAGAGGCGAAGGGCGAGCCAGGAATGGTGTGTCTGGACCAGAAGCAAAGCCCAGGATGGGAACGGGCCAAGATCAGATGCCTGGCTAAGGTGTGGCACAACCAGAAGCAGGCTCGGGACCACGGAGCAACCACCGGGGAAATCCATGTTGCCGTACCCAGCCAGGCAGGGCTAAGCAGCCTTTATAGCCCCTTCTGTGACTTCCAGCTGATTTCTGGGATTGCAATGGATCTAATCCTGCAAGCACCCACAGGCGTGGGCCCGATCCCGCAGGGACTTGCAAGGCGAACCAGGCTGCCTGCCCGTTCTTTCTGAAAGGGTGCCTTCTGTACAGTGCTTAGGCCTTCCTTTAATGGGAACATCCCGTGCATATCCATTCAATGAATAAGTCAGAACCCAGAGGAGAAACTTGAAGAATAACTGAGGACATGGAAAATGCCAGAGTGTAAGAAAACCACATTTATTTAATGCTTTTGTATACTGTCCCAACAGCATCATGGCTCTCTGGACAGTTTACATAATAAAATCATAACAAACCATAAAAACTACATCAATAAAACAATTAAGACATCAATAACAATAAAACAAGATAACATTCCCAACACAGCAGAGGCACCGTATAACAGTATCCATCAACATAACAGATCGGACAAATCTTAAAAGATCATAGCTAAAATACTGCATTTACTAGTTGAAATGCTAGTAAGAATCTTAAAAAATTGAAACCTGAAACAGCCAACCATTAAAATGCTCCGCAGATTTTAAAAAACCTCTCTTACTCTGGTGCTGGATTGTATGTCAGGAAGGCGCCTGACTGAGCTGTCTGGGAAGCCGGTTCCATTTGTGCGAGAACGGCTGAGCGGAATGGGCAGAGCATCCCTCGCCGCCTGCCTCTGATGGGAACTGTAGTCCGTGAACATCTGGGCACCGCCAGCTTGCAGGGAGGTCGCTTGTGAGTTGCGGGGCCCCTGCCGAGCGTCTGCTCTCTCTTCCAGGCACCGCGGGCGTCATCATTTCCCTGAGCCGGATCTTCACCAAGCTGCTCTTGTCGGACGAGAAGGAGAACACCATAATATTCTTTTTCATCTCCATCAGCCTGGAGTTCACCTGCTTTATCCTCCACCTGCTGGTGAAGCGGACGCACTTTGTGAAGTTCCACACTGCCCGCTCCCGCGACGGGGCGCTGGACTTCAGGGGGGCCGTGGACAGCGGCACCGGTTACCGTGTCCACCACGATGTCACTGCAGAAGACATCAGATTTGTATGTTGGGGGGAAGCTGGCTGGGGAGGGAGGCTGGCCGGCAAGGAACGGCCTCCTCTTGAGGGCTAGAAACTGGTTTAAACCTTAAAACAAGGATCCGGGCTTTGAAAACCAAGCAATCTTTTCACACTTAAAGGCTCTCCGCACAAGAATATCCTATCTTGTCCTCAGATTCACTTCCACAGTCTGGAATTCACTTCCGCAAGATGGTAGTGATGGCCCCAACTTGGAGTGGCTTTAAAAGAGGGTTGAACAAATTCCTGGATGAGAACGCTATCAATGCTGCTAGTCCTCATGGCCCTGTGCTACCTCCGGATCGGAGGCAGCTTGCCTGTGTTCCCCAGTTGGTGCAGCCCTGTGTGGGTTTCCCAGGGGCAGCTGCTTGGCCACTCTGTAACCAGAATGGCAGCTGAGATGGACCCTGGATTTCAGCCAGTGGGCTCTTCCCATGCACCCACAGCAGAGTGTGTCCGTACAGCCCGTATTGGAGAAAGAACCCTCAGCAGTAGGATGGGAAGGAAATTAAAAGTGACAGTGACAGACACATTATCCCCATCAGTCATATGCAGTGCAGTCGCTGAGCGGAACGCAAACACCCTGGCTCAGGTAAGGCAGGAAACTCACGTCATGCGGTATTTTTGAACAATCCTTTGCCAGGACTCCTCTTGCTGCTTTCCCTGCTGTGGATTTGTGTGACTATTTGCTGAGAAGGATGGAGCAGTGCTGCATCTTGTGGCTTGGGGGATTTCAGAGGGACAGGATCTTTGGCTCAGTATGTGTGTCGTCCTTTTCAGAGGGCCATCGTGTCCTTACCTGGGCCAGGAAGAGAGTGAGCCATGCGGAGCTTCACGGCGGGTTGGTGGTGACCTTTGCCCTTCAGAATCCGCCTCCATGTAAAACTGAAGGGGCACTCATAGCCCTCTCCGCTTCCATTCAGACATGCAGTCTTTCTTTAAGGATTGCACTCAGGGAAACAGCTGGTCGGTGGCAGCCAAAAACGGGCTGTGCACACACCGGCTTGGCTGGCTGGCTGTGACGGCATGAGCCCCCCCCCCCCCCCCGGCACACATGCCATTCTCTGGAGGGGTATTTCAGCTTCCTAAAATGGATCGTGATGCTTCCTTTCTCCGTGCGCTTTTCAACACAAAAAACAAATGTATCGTGGAACGGCCGAACATGTTGCACTTAAAACAATTTTTTTTTTGGAAAGGGGCAAAAGCTTGGCCTAAAGCAAGTGGGGCCAGGGGAGCCTTGAGACTGAACCCCTGTGCTTCGTCCCCGGATCCAGACGTGGGAAGAAGCTTTGCTTTCACTGCTTGGGAATGCTGCGCCAGCTTGCAGGGCAGGGGGCAGAAGGTGCCTCTGTGCGCAGTTTTCAGATGCGTGCTACAGGTTAGCACATAGTCTGGTGTGCTTGGAGCAGGAGGTTTCCGTGATCGTTTGTTTTAAAGACCCCTTGCCAAAAGCCCAAAGGGCAGTAATGGACAAGCAGCCTCCTTTGGACCCTATCTGGTCCCAGAAAGCCTCCGGAAGTCGACAAAATGCTACTGCAGAAGTAACATAGAAACAGAGCAAGTCAGAAGGGGCCTCCCGGTAGGGAAAGGGGCTTCGCAGGTATTTATTTATTTATTTATTTAAAGTTTTTGTATGCCATCCCCTTGCTTTATAGCCTCGGGACGGCTCACAGAAATAAATAAATACAATACAAATACAATTAAGACCCGGAAACACCCTGGCTGCGCAATTAAAACCAATAAATATTGGACATTGTTAAAATATTGTTTAAATAAAAAGGTCTTAGCCTGGCGCCGAAAAACAAATAATGATGGCGCCAGGTGGACCTCTCTGGGGAGCGTGTTCCACAGATGGGGCGCCACCGCAGAGAAGGCCCTCCTCCACGTACTTTGCCTCCTGATGTCTTTCACGGAGGGCTCCTGGAGGAGGGCCTCTGCTGCCGATCTCAAGGGGCGGGAGGGCAGATATGGACGCCGGCGTTCCTTCAGGTATCCAGGTCCCAAGCCGTTAAGGGCTTTATAGGTGATATAGTAGCAAAAGGTTTTTCTGCAGAGTTCCACCTTTACTTAAAAATGCTTGTAATGATAAGGAAAAAGATTTCATATTCGCAACCCACAAGGAAAGGATGAAGCCGAGACTGAACAGAATGCTTTAAGCTGGACAAAACTGCTCAGAGCAAGCAACAGGCAAAAACGCATCTCAGAGCTGCAATGGCTGCTGTCTCCAGTATGGAAGTGGGCAGTGTACCCACTTCAGGCTTCAGCCTGACCGTCAAAGGAGCTATCCAAGGTGCTGAATCTATGTTGGGGCCAGAAGTTAGCCCCACAGATCACTTCTGAACCATCCAGACTAAAACCCAGATGGATACACTGCCCCAGGGACATGGGGCCCAGCAGCCTGTAAGGGTCTGAAATGGGCCATTTCCTCCCTCCCCCAGGAGAATCGGCTTCGAGGGCAAGAAGTGCCCCCTCCTGACACCTTCGAGCAGGAAGGAGAGCTGGCCGGCAGCGGCACCTACGTGAGGTTTGATGTCCCTCGGCCCAAACTCAAAAGGAGCTGGCCTAGCTTCCGAGGTAACAGCAACCGGTGGGAAAGACACACAGCTCAGGGGGGTGATCCGGCTGCAGGGGTGTGATCGTGCCCCTGATGCGGACTCCTTGGTGGCCTCCTGCAGATATGCTGCTCCATCGTTACGTCGTCTCCAGGGTGATCTGGGCGTACATGCTCTCGATAGCGATGACGTATTTCATCACACTGTGCCTCTTCCCCGGGCTGGAATCGGAAATCCGGAACTGCACGCTTGGAGAGTGGCTTCCCATCCTCATCATGGCCATCTTCAACCTCTCCGACTTCGTGGGCAAGGTAGGACTCGGTGCTGCCCCCTGCTGTTGGGTTGCCCCATGGAAAATGGCATGCTCTCTGTGACCGTGGCGGCGAGTGTTTCGGTCACGTGCTGCCACAAATTACCGCAAATTTGTGGTTCACTTGCACAGATCATGGATGCTTCTTTGCTTTGTTGCAGCAGCTCTATCAAGAGGTCCTTGGTTCTTGGTTTCTGATGGCAATTGCTTTGAGCAAAAATACACTGATACGCTTACATGTTCAGCCCTGCTCCAGGTCATTAAAACATGGATGAGCCTGTTGTCTGAACCCAGCTGTACTAACAAATCATGGTTTAACCACAAACAACCCATGGTTTGTTGTTGGAGTGTGAACTGTGAGCTGTTTGTGGCTAACAAACCATGCTTTGTTATCTAGGCTTGTCTCGGATAACAACAACCCGTGATTTAACAACAAGCCACATTGAACCCTTGGGTGTGGGTTATTGTGCTGTCTGAACTCAGTCGTTCCCTCGCCGTGTTTTCCCAGATCCTGGCTGCCTTGCCTTACGACTGGAGGGGAACCCACCTTCTCATCTACTCCTGCCTACGGGTGGTCTTCATCCCCCTGTTTATAATGTGTGTTTACCCCAATGGGAAGCCCACCTTCAGTCACCCGGCCTGGCCTTGTGTCTTTTCCCTCCTCATGGGCATCACCAACGGGTACTTCGGCAGTGTCCCCATGATCCTGGCGGCTGGCAAAGTGAGTCCGGAGCAGCGAGAACTGGCGGGTAAGCAGAACGCCTGTGGATCACGGGCTGCTGCACTGCAGGAAGAGGGATTCTTCCAGGAGTATTCGCGGCTGCTTTCCTGAAATGGGCGTTGGGATCGTTATGCTGTCAATCCTAATGTGTTCCATCGGGAGAGGACTATTCGGCCGGAATTGCCATTCCGCCTGTAGGGGCAGAGGGCCCGGTGCCCCCCTGGCCTGACCCCCCGCTTCTCCGCCTCTCCCCCTCCAGGCAACACGATGACCGTGTCGTACATGACGGGCCTGACGCTGGGCTCCGCGGTGGCCTACTTCGCCTACAGCCTCACCAGCACCTCGCACAGCACCTGCTTCCACACCGAAAGCTACAACGGCTCCATCACCGCGGGGTACTGACCGCGGGCTCCCGAAGGCCGGCTGGCTCGCTGCGGGCGAGCTGAGCGGAGGCCCCGGATGTGGGTCGCGGGACTCTCTCGCCCCGCAGGGGCAGCCCCAGAGGTGCCCACCGTGGAAACCCCAACGGCGCCTCGCTCACGCTTACGCTAATTGCACCACGGGCACTCTCCCCAGGCACGCCCACTGAGTTGAAGTCCCTTCGCAATGGACAGAGAGTTCACCCCAGATGGGCCTTTCTAGGACCGCTTTCCTGTGACCAGCCAGATCTGGCCCCCTTCGGTGCCGCAGCCCAGGCAACGGGGCCGTCCCCCACCCCGCCCCTCCCTCGGCAGCAGGGGCTGCCTTGGCTGGCCCCCGTCTCGTTTTGCGGGGTGGCTCGCATGCGTCCTCTCCACCCACCCAGGACGATGCAAATTCTCCTCCCGCGCTCGTGAGAGCCCGGAAAAGCCACGAAATTGGGGCAGGCTTTGCTCCCAGAGCTGTGCATTCGATGTGGTTGGGAAAGGGGTCCAGGCGGAAAACGGCCATGCCAGATGTTTGCCACGCCAGATGTTTTAGCCCTAGTGGAGGATGGCTCCCCTCCTGGGCACTGCCTCCAATGCTTGAGATGGTTCAGATGGGAGGGGGGTCGGCTGGAGGGAGGCATGCCCCAAAAGTGCATTAATAAAGCATCTTTTCCCTCCGAGCTGCTCTGACATGATTGGTCTTGTCACCTCCGTGCCAAGTTTCATCACATCCAAGAGCTGCCTGATTAATAGAAAATGTAAAACAGGCACGCTTATTTTTACTTTGCAGAGCCGTGTAAGAGCTGATCACATGGCTCTTGCTTTTTCCACTCAAGTACTGGCACAGGCAGGATTTCTATTTCCATGTTCCTCTGTTAGGAAAAAAGAGTCAAGAACTTGTCTCTGAGCACAGAACATCATCATGGTAAGAGAGGGGAATTTTTCCCCCACCAGCCCCCTGACCCGTTCGTTTCCTCAGCAAGGGCAAAGAAAGATTGCCAAGCATTCATGTTTTTCCATATGTCATGCTGCACTTTTTAAGTGGGGGCAGTTCAGGAAAAGCTGTACTGTGTGATCCTGCAACACACACGCAAACCATGCTGGCAGAACCAGCTCCACCTCTAGGACATGTTAAGGACGAGAACCATTCTGATGCGACATCCGGGACAACTGCAGGGCAAGACGAAGGCCTCTCGAAGCCCTGTGGCTGAGGCATGCGAGCCCCCATCTCCTCCACCATCACCACCAAGTCAGCGGAGCTCCCTTGCCTCAAGGTCCCATCAAGCTGGTGCTGAGCTCCTGGCTCTGTAGCAGCACCAAATGATGTTCTGCCCCACCTGCAAGGACAGACGCGTGGTCCTTCCCCAAGGAGGCATTGGAGGGCATTTGCTGAGTGCCGTGGCCACCTTTGAAGTCACTGGCTGATCCAAAGCGGCTTGTGGTCCACATGCCTTTCAAGGACGCCCAGACACACGCGCAGAGCCACTGGGGCGGCCACGCCTGGACTGCACATCCTTAACTGCCTCTGAGATTCAGGATGTCCAAGATGCAGTTCTCCCGGCAGCAACCGAGCCTGGCAGATGAGAACCCCAGTAGCTGCAGAGGAAAAGGGCCGGCCCCTCCCTCGGCACCTCTGCATGCCACCTTTGCAGCCCCGTCTTCTGCCACGGGTCCATTTCCCCGTGCAAGCACCTTCCCGACGTGGCCGCCCGCCTCCTGTGTCCACAGGATGCACCTGCCGTGCCGGCTTTGTGCATCGAGCCAGGGGGCCCACCCTGCCCAAGTGAGCTGTCCAAGCACCCCTCCTCCCTGCTCAGGGCACATGTGCTCAGCTGCCTCCCTCTTGCGGCATGGACGACACACCGGGCTCCATCTGCAGGGTACCAGAGCTGGGGGGTGGGCAGAAGGACCCAGCCGGGAGACCTTGCAAAGCTCTCCTGTCTTTACTTCTGTACGCAGTGCCACATGCATTCGTGCCGACGGTCCCGGCCGGGAAACCAGGTCAGGAACATACGCTCCGCAGTCCGTGCTTCTGTATCTACAAGGAATCCTGTCTCCTAAGGACACCACGTTTGTCAAGGGAGCCCATTTCACCATTTTTTTTTTTTTTTGGGTGGGGGGAGAAATTTCCAACTGTTTTTCTTGCACATGGGCTTCACCAACGAGAACACCATTTCTTCCTTCTCCCCTGCCAAGTACACGTTTGATGTTACCCCCAAGAGCAGAAGGGGTAATGCCGGTTGGCAGCCTGGCTGCCATTTTGAATTTTCTAAAACACTAGGCCTCACGTTGTCCTGTAGTATCTAAAGCTCAAATGGGAGCTACCAGAAACCAACCAAACTCTGAAAACAAGTAGCATTCAGAGAAAATTTGCACAGTCGCTTTTTTTAGGGAACTAAGGAAAAGAAATATCAAAAGCATTTTTTCAGGGGAAACAGCGTTCGCCTGAGAAATTTCTAGCTTCGTTTTTCTCTGGGATTTCTGTGCAGAGTCCTGTTAGCACAAAGCATTCCTTGCAGGAGAGAAACTGGAGATACAGGGAGAGCTCTGACTCCACAGACCGACACCCTACCAGCCCTCTTCCAGTTTTCGTAGACCAACATTTGCAAGCCACCATCCTTCAGCTTTTTAGGGCTTTCAACTCCCATCAGTCCCACCTAATGGTCAGGAATCCTGAAAGCTATCATCCAAAGCACCTGGAGGCTGTCTGAACCTTTCCTGACAGACTAAGCTAATCTCCCACCACTTGTCTTTAATATTGATTTCTGTGTGCTAATTTGCCCACAAACCAATGATTGGACCGGGATAAGTCATTTCAGATTGCCACCCTGAGTAACTTATATTGGGTCCTGACCACTCAGCATCTGCCCGAATATACGTAAGTGGCAAATCCAGACAGGTGTGCAGAGAAACAGAAGATGCTCATTAAAATACAGGTGCGCCAGCAGTGGAAGCCAATCCTGTGATACTGAATAGCCTCCAAACAATGCAAACAAATGATGTTGCAGGAATTCTGGCCAGGTTGTCTTGCAGGGCACAGTTAACCTCTGCTGTTTGAGAAAAGAGATGAACAGACCACAGCTTGAGACCACCAGATGGCGCTGCTGGATCCCCCAGCAGCCCCCTGCAGGACTGCAGGAGAACCCTTGCCCAACCTTGAAACGGTATCTAAGCTACCTGCTACAGAAACAAGCAACTATTAGCCAGGGCTCGCCCAGATGTTTGCAAGAAGATGGAACATAATGCAGTTGTGCCGTGCTTTGTGTTGCTGTAAAATCCAGATGCTCCAAAATGAGGAGCTTGACGGGTTGAGTCCAAGCTTGCCCAGTACAATGGGGGCCACGCAACCGTCCGTGGGCTTCGGGACATTTCTGGCTTTGCCTACATTCACTCTGGGGGCCGTACATGGTAACAGTTCTCGCCAAAGCAGAACTTGGGTTCACGATTCTCTCTTTGGAGAGCAAAGCCTAGCATCACATTTAATTTTCCCTCCTTCCACTTCAGCCCCAGCCGTCCCAGCCAAAATGAGCTGTGTCTTATCTGAAAGAGGGCAAAGCAGGGAGGACAAGTTTGGGACGATAGCCGTGGAATACAAGCACTAACTGAGCAAGGCAAAGCTTCCACTTCAGTGGGGACGGGTGGAGAGGGTGCTAGAAACGGAGCGCGGGGCAAAATGCCTTCTTTGCATTTCCACAGTGAACAGCATTCAGGGACTGGACTCTGGTACCCTTTCGGCCTGCTAAAAAATGGCAGGCAGCAGCGGCAGAAGGCAGCTGGAGCAGAGAGGGTTGCATCACCCCAGCCCCAAACTTACCCCCCTCTCCAGATATAGATGTGATTTCCCCTCTGCCGGTTTCACTGCCAGTAAATGAAGCTGCAAGAGTGAGCACACCTGAATGCATGTACGAAAAGCGGGAGGACTTACCCAGGAGCAAGAAAGAAATACAGCACATGACACGTCATCCTAGTCCAACTAAGCCGATCAGGGTCGGCACGCGTGACACGTTGCGTGGAACACACCCGCACACACGTCTGCATCAACCAAGCCTCCTGACCCACCTGCGAGGAGACAAGTGCGGGAGCAAATACGACCCCGTTTGCCTGAAGCGGCTTCGCCACCTCCATACCTGCGGCCAGGCCTGCGTGCCAGGTAGGATCTGCCCCTTAGAGAGGTGGCCAGCCCTGCATTTGACGCCAACAGCTGTTTCCTCCCAGGTTTCCGTACTGCCTCGGATGCAGTCTTAGCATCTCGACTCTGGACCTCCGGGATTTGTGCCACGGTCTTGTCTGACATGGCAGTCCTAGACAAGCCAAGCCAGACCCCCCCGGGGGGGGGGGACTGCCTCCCTCTCACAGGAGGCCCAATTTGACACCTGGCTCCTCTGCATAGGACTGGACAGTCTTCTGGAGGGCTGCCGGTCAGTGTTGACAGCCTCCTAAATTCCAATTCAAGGGTTAGGGCAACATCCATAGCCTGTTCTACCTATTTAGATACTTGGAAGAACGTGCAGGCGCTTTTGCGGGTTATCACCACGTCATCCGAGGCTGGAAGGCTTTGGGTCTGAAAAGTCAGTTAAATCTTTTTATTTATGTAAAACATTTATATACCGTCCTTAATTCATATAGGCCAGTGATGGCAAACCTTTTAGAGACCGAGTGCCCAAATTGCAACCCAAAACCCACTTGTTTATCACAAAGTGCCAACACTGCAATAAAACCTGAAAACTGAGGTTTTATAGTTTAGAAAAAACCACTCACAGCCAGTCCAAGCAAATATGAAAGCTCAGACGAGCCACAGCTCATGAGTTGCAGCTTGTGATGTCATCGCCTGGCACCACTGCCGCTTTCCAAGCATGCGCATGGCCCGTGTGCGCTGTTATCTGGTGCTCGGCTGCTGGGGCGATGCTGGGGCGACTTGGCTCGCGTGCCGACAGAGAGGGCTCTGCGTGCCTGCTGTGGCCCGCGTGCCGTAGGTTCACCACCACTGATATAGGATCTCAGGACGGTTTATATAAAAACAGGAGAACAGCAGCATCTGCAGCAGCACTTACCATATACAGTATATAAAATCTCTATCATTTTAATTATTAAAATACTGGGTAAATAAAAACGTTTTAGTCTGGTGCCGACACGAATAAAGGATCTCCCTGGGAGCCGTTTCCACAATTTGGTTGCTGCACTGAGAAGGCCCTTCCCCAGCCAGCCGCTCTTCCAGCCCCTTTCAAAGAGGGCTGCCAGAGAAGGACCTTCCCAGGCAAGCAGGTGTATATGGAAGGGCACGTTCCCCACTGGCACACCTGTCTTTTCAGACTCAAAGTCTCCAGTGTTCAGAAAAGCCCAAGTTGATTCATCAAAGCAGGTGAGCAGCTGAGGGGCGGTCTTTTGGCTGGCAGAGACTGGCTGGCCACGCGGGGGAAAAAGCCAGAGTCGCGATGCAACCAGAGACAAGCTTCTAAGGGCACAGCGGCCTTCCCTCCGTCCCCACGGCAGAGGGGGCTTCTGTAGGCCACCTGGGCTGCGAAGATGACGCTCATCCTCGGAACAGGTAATGGGGGGTCTGCTCCAGGCGGCCCGGAGGGGAGGAGTGACCCCAGCGCTATCCTGTGAAGAATCCAGGCGGTGCCTCAGCCGCCTCCCTCACCAACTGTGGCCAAAGATGCAGAGTACGGCTTGGGTGGGGGTCGAAGGCAGCCGTATGAGATGGGGCCCTAACCATTGGTCTGCATGCGCATTGTTGTGATGTGCGGTCAGGTCGTCTCCGCCCTGTCATCGACTGCACACAGAGAGTGTGAACGTGTGAGCAGAAGGGAAAGACAGCACAATGTGTTGACCTTGTGGGTATATGAGCTCCATCTTCGAGCACGAATTCTTTGGGTGGGAAGGTTTCTTGGAGAAGGGAGGAACAAAGAGGCGTGGAGCTGCGATTATCTCCCTCGGCCACATACGGTTTGGGGGATGCCGCCCCCCCCGGGAAAGACGCAAAGGTCTCGAGGGCAACGGGGTTCGTGGGTTGGTCTCGGGAGCCAGCGTGCCAGCAGAGCAGTAAGAAGTCAAGCAAAGAAAGGCAGAATTCCAGTTGTTTCTTTTCAATCCATTTTTTTTTTATGAAAAAGGATCACACATAATTCGGCAACAAACAGAATGCAAAAAAAAAAAAAAAAAAAGGAGGGGGGAATTGAAAACATAAAAAACATAACAACACAGGGGGGAAAGGGGGGGAAAAACCTGGCTCCTTTCCTCTCGATTGTCTGCAGAAAATCCTTGTGTTCCATAGAAGGCAATGGGCAGTTAAGTGCTTTCTATTTAACATTAGCATAAATTCTCTCTCTCTCTCTCTGTGTCTCTTTAAACATTTGCTCATGTAAGTTCCTTCTACACGCACAGTACACAGTTTGTATGTAGGTAAGGTCTGGATTGCCTGTTCCCCTGTGTGTTCACTTTTGACAGTCACAATCCAACAGGAAATTAAAAAATAAGAGCCTACATGTCAGACTGTGTTTACTTTTATAATTTCATATTTTTTTCACAGTTTTTTTAAAAAAGTTTATATATTTATATATATTTATATATTTATATTTTATATTTAGAATTAAAAAGTTGAATCCATTTTGCTTTTCTTTTTCCTTTGTCTTTTTTTTTAGTGTGTGTGTGTGTGTGTGTGTGTGTTCATTGTCTTTAAAGAGGTTTATGGTACAGGGGGAAAGGACTACTTGGTACATTAAAACTGTACAGAGTTGTGGTGTGTTTTTTAGAAATTTCATCCACTAAAATCTTCACAAGCAGTGAACTGGGGCTGGAGAAAATGGGCAGTACAGGTCAGCACCACTGTGGTTCTTTAAAAGAAGGTGGCAAAGGGTTGTCAAAGGAGTCGTCTTTCTCCTGGTCTCTTTAGTACTCCATACGTATCACAGCAGATAACAAAAATCTGTCCATCAAGAATCCCCCCCTGCAGTGTAGTGCTGGAATGGTACAGTCTGTTCGGGGCAGAAACAATCATGTTGTCTCAGTTTTGTAGTGTATGATTTTGTTCTTAAGTGCAAAAACACTGTCTAGGCCGCATCCGCCGTGACCTCCACACCCCTGCTGCACCCCGTCGAGCCGCCTCTCTCGCCGGCTCGCCCACATTTGGAAATTCTCCCTGCCTTGAAATGGGAAGAAACAGAAGTCACGGCCCTCTGGGCCGGTGGAAACGGCGGCAGCGGATCGAGGGACAGACCGACAAACATCTGGAGAGGCAGAAAAGGCTGGAGCAGCGGCAGCTGTCCTTACTACCGCGGCGCTCCCCGACCCCGCCACCCGCAATTCCTGCACGGGTGCAAGGATTCCACAAGTGCTGTCTTCTCCCAAAGTTTTATGAGTGGTGCTGGTGGGGAGAAGAGAAGCAGAGGCAGGTGTGAGCATTTTGTCCTGTCTGACATCCAGAAGTCAACCGAGGATGCTCTGCTGGGTGCGGATGCTGCTGGGTTCGTTCTAAAGTGTCCGTTGGGTTCCCGCAGCGGGAGCAGCAACCAGCCATCCACATACCTCCCAAGCAGGCTCCCCCTTCCCAAAACTGTTCTGTCTTTAGGAAAGCACTGATGGCGGAGAATCCCGTGGCTTCTAAGCAGAACTCGTCATTTACATTCAACTTACATGGGGAAGGAAATGTTTTTGTTCAATGGCATCTGCTTAGAATAAAAACCGCCTCCCCTCACAATCCCAAGTGTTCGGAAGGGCTTGGCAAAAACAGGAGAACGTCTCATCTCTTCTGTCTGTTTGCTTAGGCCCCATACCCAGAGAGGGCTGTTGGTCAACATCTCTTTGTGCAGTACCCTTTTCAGTGGTGGCTTCCAGAGCCATCTCCTTGCATGAGTTCTCTGCCGGAAAAAAAAGATCAGGCCTTCGAGACAAGAAAAGCAATCAAAAGCACGGAGTGGTGCTAATTCAGGGGTCTCCTTAGCCCCGGGTTCTTCCACAAGTTTTATGTGCAGCTGGTGAGGAAGGATGCATGAGGGGCCGGAACGAAGGCGAAAGAATGCCACGTCCAGAAAATGTTGGCATCTAGAAATATCCTATGAAAGGTTGAACCAAAAAGAGGGTAGGGCCTGCAGTTCGACACTGATGTGGCACCACACCCCAAAGCAAAACCAGTTTCCCAAGGGCAGGGAAGAAACTCCTGCCTAGGTCTGCAACGTTTTTGTCGTGTTTCTAAAAAAACCGATCTCCCTTCTTGTGCAAAAGCCAAGCGGTTGGATCCATCTCAGAACTGATCTCAGAAAACATCTTGGAGAAACCTCTCTCTGTTTTTCAAAATGCTGCGATGGAGCATTAAACAATCACACTGTCGTTGAAGCAGGCACATACTTTCTTTTGTCCCATTCTTCTTCCTCTTCCTCTCCGTCCGTCCACAGAGAGGAGGGACGACTTGATCAGAATGATTTGGGAGTGCGGATGCCCCCCAACCTTCCCTTTTTTGGCAGTGGCAGCGGCGGCACCTGCTAGCAGATGACGGGTACCCCCTCCGTATTGAATATCATGCCTGTGGTGGGTTCATAGGTGCCTGCTAGGTAGTATAAGTCTTCACTGTCTTGGTACTTCTTGGTTTTCAGCATCTGCTCATATTGCTCCAGGTCAACCACCAGACACTTGTGGGAGATTGTCTGGACGTCATTCTCATCCACGTGGGAAGACTGGTACAGCGCCCGCTGGAGCAGAAAGGAGGCGGAGGAAGGGAAAGAAAGACAGAAAAAGGAGTGAGTCCGACTGGGTGGCGGCATCCTGACGCTTCCTGTGCTGTGGATGGAGGACGGAGTGGGAAGTGCGTGGCTGGATTCCGCCAGGGGGCCACCTGCTCTCGTGTTCGGTGGCTGGCCAGCTGCTGCGGTTGCCCCCGAAGAGGGCATGGGCACGGCACTTCCCACCAGAAGTCCCCCGTAGCTGATGTCCAGCTCAGGGACGAGCAGAGGATGGCTTCCTTGAAGTTCCCCTTGCATGAGAGCCACGTGGCGTCTTGAAGACCCACCAATTCATTCTGGCTTTTGTGGGATCTGACCACGTCATCAGATGATGTGCTTGGACGACTGGGCGAGACCCACGAAAGCGCAGAACATGAGAGGAGTCCTGCTGGATCTGGCCCGGGTCCATCTAGGCCAGCATCCTGCCTCCATGGCAGCCAACCAGCTGCCCATGGGAAGCCTCCCCCCCCCCCCCCCCGGTAGTACAGGAACGGGGCAGCCTCCTCCATCCCACGGCCCCATGCCACTGCGGGACTGGTAGCCACGGATCACCTGTTCCTCCAGGAATGTATCCAAGCCCCTGGAAAAGCCATCCAAAGCGGTGGCCGTCACTGCGGGAGTGAATTGCATAGTCGGACCACAGGGTGCATGCAGAAGCCTTTCCTTCGATCTGGCCTGAATCCCCCACCCATCGGCTTCATGGCCAGGCCCTGCTGGGTTGTGGTACTCCATCTCCACTTTCTCCACACTGAGGCCCCTCTCCAGCCCCGAGAACATACTCCACACGACGTCTGGTCTTCTAACCTCTTTTCCCTTGCTTTCCCTCCCAGCTCCAAGCTTCTCTAGGGATTTAATGTTCTCTCACCGTCTGGCCCCACTGAAGTCTCTTGCTATATTTACACCCCTCCTGGGCGTGCCAAATATTTTGACTTAAACGCAACCACTCCTTCCCAGCCCCCTTTGATGTTCTCCCCATAGGGAGAGTCCACAGGCCTGGACTTTCCCCATCGAGCCTGCCCCTGTGAGGGATTCTGCTTCGGGTGCTTGTGGCAAGCGCTTCCGACCCCCAGCTCCTGTGGACCTTTTCGGCCTAGGCCCCAGCGTCTGCCTGCACCTCCCTGCCGCCGGGACCACGCCACCCGCTGACAGCGGCGGCCACCTTTGTGGGCTTGCGTGGGAAGGGGTTGACTAGGAGGAGGCCATGGAGGAACTGAGCAGCACCCAGACTTGGGTGAAGGAAGCCGAGCATCCGACTCGTCCGGCAGGGCATGGCATAAGACAGGTTCTGCTTCCGTTTCCACGGGAGGGTCCCCTGGAGGTATTGCGAAGCCCACCGCCTTCTGGCCAGCCGGCTCCTCCTCACCTCCATGAAGTCCTTCCTCTGGCTGGAAGCCTGGAGAGCGGTGGAAAGGCTTCTGCTGGATTTCTGATCCCAGCGCTGCGATCAGGAGCACCAGGCGAGGAACCAGAAACAACCGAAGGGGAAAGAGTAAGGTTAGAAGGCAAAGCCTGCAGCATTCAGAGATATCCACAGGTGTCATAATCCTGATTTTGGATTTGCCTCTGGACCCTGAATGTCTACGGTAACGAGAGGAAAAAAGGCAACTCTGCACATGTTCAGAGGCCTGATTGTCCTGAGACGGCAAGGTTTCCTCCATTCACAGGTAAGATTACTCACCTAAAGAGCAACCCATGATGGGCTGCACATACAACCGAATCAACCCAACTGTGGGAGCCCGTGGTTGTGTGAATCACTGAACAGTGCAATGCAGGGGCATCATCGCCAATTACTGGCATTTTCTGGCAGGCTGAAACGTTGCTTCAGCCATTCACATCACCACCTGCAGCATGTCCATCTCACAGGTACAGAGCTCGCCCAAGAGGAGCCCGAAGGTCACGCGGGTCGCTTGTCTGGGAATCCCAGAAATTGTTCCCCACCAAGCGTGTGCCAGGTCGGCTGGGTAGCCAGTAAGGTCACCCACCTTGCCTTCGTTGAGCTTCTTGCCGGGGTTGGTTTCTTCTGGGTGGTAGAACCATTTCACTCGGACCACCATGTTGTTCCCCCAGGATTCCCACATGCTCTGGATCCGTCCAATGTAGGGCAGGTTGGGCCGGCCGGCCGACAGGAAGACGGCACAGTCCCCGATGCGGATGATCTCCTTCCCCCGGACGATGGCCTTGTAGAAGAGCTTGCGGGCTTTCCCCTTCATTCCGCGCCTCTGCGGAGTGAAAGGATGCAGAGCTGTATGCGCTCGGCACATAAGCCTCCCCCTGGCCATGCGCGGAGGAGAACCAGGACGGGGAACCTCCCTCAAAGGGCCGAATTCCATCTCAGAGAAGCTCCCAGGGGCCGCTTTTCAGGGGTGGGCAGGGCCAAAGGCAAAAGAGGAGGGGCCAAAGGCAAAATGCGAGGGGCCAGAGTAACCGCATGCTTCAGCCTGAAGCTCTTTCTGGCAGGAACCGGCATTTGGGCCTTTTGGAACGGGGGAAATCTGGCACCAAGCTGCCCCACACCAAAGGGGTGAGGCCCTCCGAGGAATCGCACAGGGCCAAACTGAGTCCGCGGTCATTGGGCAATCTAACCTCTGCCCCTGCGCAAAGAGATAAAGGGGCTGTAGAAGCAGGAAAACCACTTATTTAACGATGGCATTCGGAAACGGGACATCCTGCATCAGGCGCGAAGGGGCAAGTCCAGCCTTGGACTGGGGTTTGTGCAACCTTGCAGCCCAGTCCCAGCGTCTAAGGAGCAGCGGGCCCTGCAGAAAGCTCGAGGAGGCGATGCTCACCTGGGTGGGCTTTCCGAACCACTTCCACAGCTGCCGCGCGGGCAGGAAGGCGGCGATCTTGGGCCTGTTCTCCACAGAAGGCAGCCGCTGGCGCTTGGCCAGCTCCTTGGTGGTGGGCAGGTGGATGCCCTCGCGCTTCTTGGGCCGGTTCTTGCTCTGCTGCTGCTTCTGCGGCGGCTGCCCCAGCTTGGGGCCCTGGGGGTGCGAGGCGGCGCGCGGCTTCCCCGACTGCTTGGCCGGCTTAGGCGGGAGGGCCTGCTGGGCGGACGAGGCACCGGGCTGGGACTCGGCCTCGTCATCATCCGAACTGCAGGACGAGTCCTCGTCGGTGGTGGAGGAGGAGGAGGAGGAGGAGGAAGAGCTGGAGCTGGAGGAGGAGGTGGTGGAGGAGGAGGAGGAGGAGGAGGAGGAAGAGGAGGAGGAACTGCTGCTGCTGGAGGAAGAGGAGGAGGAGGAATTGGAGGAGGACATGGGCGTGGATGCCCGCGAACTGGCTGAGCTGCTGTCTTGGGCTCCTCCTCCGTTCTTCTCGGCTTCTTCTTCTCCTTCGGACTCTGAACTGCTGCCGCTGCTGTTGCTTTCGGACTCGTCTCCTGCCGGGGCAGACTGCCCTTGATCCTCTTCATCCTTTGCAGGAGCCGCCTTCTCTCCAGAGCCCCCAAACTTGCCTCCGAAGCTGGGAGCTGCAGGCTCCCCACTGGCCGCCTTGCTCCTGGAAGGCTTCTGCTTGGCGTCTGTGTTGGAGATGGCGCTGTAGCTCAGTCCCAAGATGTTCTTGGCCTCCCTCCTCCCGGCCAGACTGGAATCCCCCAGCATCCGCATGGCCTCCTTCGTCTTCTTGGTTTTGGGGGACATGACGCCCTCGTGGTCCAGCTTGATCAGGATTTCGCTGTCGGGGATCTTCCTCTGAGCCTTGGCCGTCGAGCCAAATTCTGGGGACTCCTCGGCAGACTTCCCTTTCTTGGATTTGGCCTTGCCAGAGGGGCTCTCAGAAGGGGCGAAGGCTGGCAGGACACCCGGCAGCTCGGTGTACGGCTCGTTCCCGCGGGCACCACTGAACACCTGGGACTGGAAGGCGGACTGGGCCGGGCTGTGCAGTTTGGCAGAGAGCTTCACCTTGCCGCCTTTGCCATGATGCTTCTCCTCTGCCGGCGCCGGTGAGTTCCGGGCGGGGACGTGTGGCTGTGCTTTCTTGGAGCCCTTCACGGCTTGCTTGCAAAGGGGCTTTTCTGGGACGAGGGGCGAGCTCGCTGGCGTGTCGCTTGTCTGCTCTGGGGGGGCGTTTTCTTCTGGAAAGCAGCAGAAAGGGGTGTTTCAAGTAAAGGTGGCAGTGGTGGCCACGTGCGGTGCCTGTTCCACGGATCAGGGTTCTACAACCTTGTGCTGTCTAAATGAGCCTTCCCAGACTCGTTTTGACTGCAGCACCCAGAATTCCCTGTCAGTAGCCCTGCTGGTCAGGAATTCTGGGAGATGCGGTCCAGACGCCTCTGAAGGCTACCAGGTTGGGGAAGATCCCTCCAGATGTAAACTCTCAGCATCCCCAACTAGCTGAAGGCTGCCAGGAATTGAAGCCAAAAACCTCTGGGAGGCAACACTCTGGAAAAGGCCATGCTAGATCCGGGAAGGACAGTCTCCACCCTAAATTGCCCACGGAAATATGTTTTGTATCTTTGCATATATTCCACCATCTTTCCATTTATATCCCACCATATTCCCTTTCAAGCAACTCAACATTAAACAAACTCAGCATATGGACACTGGTGAAGGATCGGAGTCAAACTCTGCAGGAAGGTCGGGGGAAGCATTTATCTCAGCCTTCCCCAATCCAATGACCTCCATGCTTCGACTACAACTCCCATCTTTCCCACTGGCTGGCAGGGATGGCAGTTGTGAGCTTGAAACATTTGGAGAGCAGCAGCTCAGGCTGCCCTCAACAGTCAGGGGGTCTCTCAGGCCACCCCGTTATTTATTTACACGTTTTATCATTTAACGTCGGAGGTCTGCCAGGTTCCAGCCCTTTTGCAGGCGCCTCTCGCGAACTGAACCCATCAGGAGACATCTGTGCTGACTGATCTGATGAGCTCTCATCCATTAACTCTCGGGAGACACACTGGTATTTTAAATACAGTGATGTTGGAGGAGGAACAAGAAGGAAGATCCGTAGTTGCATGCAGAACGGCAGGTGCCTAAGAGAGACCCCCACCTGTGCGGCATAAAGGGGCAAACCCGCTTCAGCACGTGCTCCTGTCACCTGCAGTTCTCCTAAGTTTGCCCATCAGAGCAACTTTTCCAAAAGTGCCTCGTTTGATAAATGGTGGGGCTGCATTTTTAGTCCATGCATCCTCTATTCTTTCCAAAAGCTGGGGACCGGGGGGGGGGGGCACAGTTCTGCAGCTGTGTGCACCCTGACTTGCGGAAGACCCGACTGCCCTACCTGCCATCACCAGCGAAAGGGAATCAGGCCACGTTCACAAGAAGGACCCCCCCGGGCCCCCACCAGAAAGCGCTGCCCAGCAGCCCAGGCCCCCGGGCTCGCAGGGGCAGCTGACTGCATCCCCGCCGTCCCCTGCCAGCCCCAGCAGCGCGTGCGTGGTCCTCCTACCGGCTTTCTGCTTGGTGCTCGGTTTCCTCCCACGCCCTTTGCCTTTCGCCGCCGGCTCTTCCGCCCCCGTTCCGGTCCCCTCCTTCCCTTCTCCGGGGTCCTTGCTGGACTTGCGGCTGCGGCGCTTTGTGCTGGGCACCAGCAGGGCGGGAGAGGGCTCGGCACCTGGAAACATCAACCACGGCCGTTCTGGGCATGGGAGCCACGACACACACGGTCTCACCGGCGCAAAGTCCTCCGGGGACGCTTTGCACGCTGTGCGGCATTCCCCGTGGAATCTCCATGGGAGGCACTCAGGACGGCGGCAGAGCGCCCCCCGGAGGTGCTGGGGGACATGGCCCCGGCTGGCCATGCTGGTGCAGAAGAAGCACTGTTTGTTTGTTTGTTTGTTTGTTTAAACCTTTTTTAGACTGTCCATTAACTGAAGTCTCGGGACAGTTTAACAGTAAGATAAAAAATAAAGCACAGCATCCTAATCAATTTCTGACCATAAATCCCATATTAAAATAACAGTCAGACCTTAAAATATTGGGAAAATAAAAAGGTTTTAGCCTGGGGCCGAACAGAATAAAGTGACGGCACCAGAGGAACCTCTCTGGGGAGGTTCTAGTGCTAGAACTGCCTTGCCCGTTTTTCGCGGTTGTTGGTGCGCTCAAAACAGCGAATGAGCCTAGAGCAGGGTGTGGAAACCTGGGGCCGCTCCGTGTGCTGCTAGGCCTCTCCTCAGTGGCAAAGTCTAACCGTCAGGGGCGATGGAGAGCAGGAATTCCCCAGGGGACCTGGGGCTATCCAGCCACTCCTTTCCTGCTCCTCAGAAAGAAGGAAGTGGGCGAGAACTCAGCTTCAGGAAGTGGGCTTCCTGGAAGACAGATCCGCAGACTCGTCTCCTGGAACAGGGCTGCTGAAACCTTTTGCCAGAGGGCAGGAAGTCTCTCTGCAGACTCTCCTGGGAGTCCCATTCCAGTGCCGTGTGGAGCCAAAGGCAGAAGGTCAAGCCGAAATCCCAACTTATTTCAGCTTAAATCTTTTGCTGCCCAAAGCTAAGCCCCAGGGGAAGTGGCTCAACCTTTGAAAAGGGGAGGGGGTTCACAAGATCTCGGGAAACCCGCAGCAGAGAGTGTTTGTGAGACAGGGGTCATGACTGCAGAAAGAGGCAGCCTTCTGGGCAACCCTGGGTCAGACTGGGGCCTCAAGCCAGCTGCGTCCAGCCCTCTGGACCCAAGTTCTGTGCCTCTTCCAGAGATGAGTGCAAATCCCGTCCCACAAGCCAGACTCACACTGGATCTTGTAATCAGTGGGAAGAAGCCGGATGTGGGACAAGGGAATCCTTCCAGTGTCACCGTCGTCGAACTCCACCGTGATCAAGTCCCCGTTGTCGTCCTGATCATGGGCCCCTGAGAAGAGGAGAACGGATTGCAGCCACGCGTCCCACAAAGCACCCGCCATCGCTTTGCTCCGTGGCATCGTCAGACCCTCATGTGGTCCCCGCCACATGCTCTGGCGCCACCGGTTCTTACACAGACTCCCCACATGGGTATCCGCAGACTGCAACACCCCTCGGCTCCTGCTGGCATGACCAGTGCCGAGGAACACCAGCGGGTGCGGCCCAGAACACTGGGGAGGGCCCGTCTGAGAGAAAGCCCAGCCTGGGAGAACCGCAGGACGTCTCACCTCGGACCACGGTCCCGGGATAGAGGCAGCGGTACTGTTGGCTCCAATAAGCGGCAATCCTCGTGCCCTCGGGGAGGAAGCGCACCGAAGGGGGCTTCACATCGATGATCTGTGTGCGAGGAGGACAGCCCGGCCGGGTCAGACCCAGGGCCACCCGCGCCAGCATTCTGGGCTCATGTGGGCAACCGACGGCCCACGGAAGCCCACAAGCAGCACATAATGTATTACGATTGCTACAACTAATTTTATTGCCACACCACCTGATAGCCAAAATTATCAGGGCAGCAAACAGCGATCGATAAGATACAATGAAATACGATCTAAAATGAGCACGACGACAAGAACAACAGACCATCGCAGCACACACTGGAAACCAGGTTGCCACGACTAAGCAAAGCAGAGCCCGATCTCCCCCTGTCCACTTTCTCACAGCCGGGACACGTGTTGGACAGGTGTCAGAGGGAGGCAGGGCCTGGCGCCTGTTGGCAGCCCATCCCACGGCGCAGGCCCTCCGTCAACAGCCCTCCTCTCCGTGCCGCAGCCTCCCTGCCCACCTGCCTCCTGTCCTATCATCCCAGACCACAGGGGAGGCGAGAAGGCGAGGGAGATGCCCCCATCGGCTCTCTTCCTGTCCATCTTCCAAAAGATAGCCAGGTTGAGAAAATGGGGGGCAAGAGCAGCCGGGGAAGGTGGGCTCTTGCAGGGAAGGGGCCCATGGAGGGTGTCTTGCCAGGGCCTCTCCAAGATTTGGAGCCAGACCTGGGCCCCCTGTGGCACCTACGGCGAATCTTGCCTATGATGCATCTTGTAGGAGTGGATTCTACAGTGCAGCTGTGCAAGAGAAGCATCAGTAGCTGACTTTCTCTTCTTATTATTATCTCAGTGCATGTATATCTCGCCTTTCCTCCTCTTGTGAGGCACCCAGCGTGGCTTTCGTAGCTTCTCTGGCCCGCCCAGTAGCCACCTCGTTGGGCTGAGCGCCTGTGACTGGCCCTCGCTCGCCCCGGATCCTCCTCCTTTTCTCCCAGGTCAGAGCAGAGCATCCCCTTCCAGGGCATCGGCACTTACCGCCTCCTGCAGCAGCTGCTCCAGGCAATAAATATGGGGGCGATTCCCTCGCTCTCCCTCCACTACAACTCGGTATCTGAAACATATAGACCCAAAATGCAACACTGAAGTAGGAAGAGGAGGAGGAGGAGGCCGAGAGGCATCAAGATGTAAGACAGAAGCAAAAAGAATGCCGCCAGAGAGACATTCCATGCCTTGTCGGGCTGTTACAAGGAGGGCTTTAGAAAACCACCTCTTCTGCTTTCAGTACAAACCAGCAGCAATACCAGAAGCCCCACACCATCACGGTTTCCTTCCACTCCTGGAACCAGGTGCTTACAAATCGCGAACGGCTGCACAGATTAAGGGCCCCAACTGGGACGACCCCTTTGTTTCTCACCGGAACATCAGCAGCATCCCCAGTGACCCACCCAAAGCAGGGAACTTGGAGCAAGTGCTATAAACCATGCTAAGCTCCAGAGGCAAGGATCTCATGAGCCAGTTGCTCCCTTTCTCACAAAGCCAGCATAGGTCATTTATATCCTGTGTTCCAGAAAAATGCAAGTGTTCGAATTCTGCACTAAGCCAAGCCGGGTGTAGGACTCACTTGGGGGTGAGTCCCACTGACCTCAGTGGAGCTTACTTTTGAGTAGTCACATCTATATTGGAGCCATGAATCAAGTTAATTATGCTTGAAAGGGGTACTTCTTATATCAGCTTGCCCAGATCGTAAGATCTCCAACAAAGGCCCTATCTAGGAGAAGTACGGCATTTGTAAACCACCCAGAGAGCTTCGGCTACAGGCGGTATAAAAATGTAATTCATAATAATACTACTAATAATAATAATTTGATGGAAGGGGAGAAGGAAAGGACTCTGAATTTCTCAGAGAGCTGAAAACTGTGCGTTCCGTGTGCTGAACTTGTGTGGGAGCATCAAATGCACACTGGAGCTCTGGAAGCTTTTAATATTTATTTACTTAAAACTTCTATATGCTGTCCCTTATGCATGGCCTCTCAGGACGGCTTACAATCCTTAAAAAACAAAATACAATAAAACGATGCACACCAATTAATAAGTAACCATAAGCAATACAAAATTCAAGCAAAAGCGACGGGCGGAACACGAAAATGCTAATTTCTAAAGTAACCGTTGAATAAAAGGGTTTTGACCTGGCACCGAGAAGAATATAAGCGTTCGTCTCTCTGGCCGCGGTCCCAACCCGTTCCCCCAATCTGTAACGCATGTCCTTTTGCTTACATGTCGGGAGAATGGACGGTCTGCACATGCCCGGCATACAGCAGCTTGTCGTCCATGGGGATGAGGACTCTGAGGCCGTCCTTCAGCTCGTCTTTGTCAATGATGCAGGAACGAGGGGCTGCGGAAAAGCGGAGGATCAACACCAGGGTGGGTGTGTCAGTGGCGATTCTCAGAAGGCGGCAGAAATGTGCACCAAGGCGCTTCTTTAAATCCCTTACCGACATGCAGCCCGTTCCACATCCTGAACTGACCTGGGGATCCCACATTCCTCTCCTCCCCGAATTGTCCCCAGCTGATCATAATAAAAATGGCTACTTCACTGTGTCTGAGTTTCCTGTTTTTCCTCTGCCCTCCCCATCCCTTTATCCTTTTGCATTGCATCTTCAAGATGACCATAGTGGGTCTTCTAGATTTGGATAAAAAGCCTGTTTCTGAACATCGCACATGCTTTGAAAGCCCTCGTGGCTGAAAAGTGGCTGAAATGCTTGCGACGAGAAGCCTTTGGTGTTGTACATCATCTCCCTTTTGGGGCAGGGCAGGAAGAAAGCTGAATATCGGGGCCTGTGGCAGTGCCCATCTCTCACCTGGCGTAAGTGGCCTCTCCACAAGCACGTTCAATGGCACGTTCTCGTCCTCGGAGAAGCTGCTGTCCTGGTTGGGTTCGAAATCTTCCTCGGCGGCCATGCTCTCCATGAGCTTGCTGACGGCCCCTCCCTTCCCTCGGCTCTGCACGGGGATGAAAGCAGGCAAGGTTAGGCAGCGCCCTTCCAGGCTGGCTTGGAAGGCAGAAGCCAGGAGGGTGGTGTCTTCCTGGTGGGGTCCCCGGCCCATGGAAGGCATTTCCCCAGTGAGGCCTGCCTGGCACCAGCCTTGTGATCTTTCTGGCAGTAGGTCAAGACCCTACCATTTCTGAGTTGGTTAATCATGGCGATGGGCAAAGGGGAGGGAGGTTCTCACCACCACACTGACCACTGGGAAGCTTAGCCGGCCAACCGTCTGGCATGGAAGATTTTGGAAGGCCTCCAGCCAGCATTGTCTACAGTGAATGACGGGAGCCGTAATTTGTAACCAAGAAAAAGAAGGGGGAATATTTCAGGGGCAGAAGAAAAAAATGCTTGCTTTACCCAATGCATTTCAAAAATAACATTCCTTTCTCCTCCTGTATCTTTCTTCAGAGATACAGAAAATAATCTTTCCAATGCTCAGCATATCAAGAAAGACTAAATTTTGGAAGGATTCGTTCTGGTTTATCTGAAGAAAGATAAAAGGTCCCTCCGGAAGGAAAACAATGTTTTTTCAGAATGTGTTGGGCAAAGTAAACAATTTTTCTTCAAGCACCTGCAAGATTTCTTTTCCCTCTTTTGCTTGGCAACAAATGTGTCCTTTCTCTTGCTGTGACTGAGAGTTATAATCAGACGCTTCTGAAAGGAAGTGGGTTGTGGGAGGTTGCTGCAGGGATCCATTGCCAAGCACAGCAGAAAATGCTTTGCTAGAGGGGGAAATAATCCGGCCCGGTTTTGTTTTGCTTCCCAGGTATTGCTTGCGCTTGCAGGAGGCAGCTTTTCATGGAGCAGAATTTGGTTCACCTGGGACTGAGGGCTTTACGTTGCCCAGACTCAGAATATGAATAGCCTTCTAGGCATGTGTGGGCGCCGACACCTCATATGCCGACCTGGCTTTAAGACCTATGCAGGGGGCCCTCCCGTGTGAGCCCTCACCTAGGGAAGGGAGAGCAGCTGCTCCCCATATTTGGAACGCTCTCCCCAAGGAGATTCGGCTGGCGCCTTCTTTATACTCCTTTTGGTGACAGGCAAAGAGCTTCCTTTTTAAAAGAATTTTACTAGCTGAGGCCACTAAACCTTCGTTTTGCATTTTCAACTGTATTTTATTAGTATTGTCTTTGTAATTGTTGTTCTTAGTTTCATTGTGGCTTTTTATCTCATGATTGTGAGCCGCCCAGAGCTGCTGTGGCACAAAAGGCAGCATACAAATGTTTTAAATACGCACACACAAGCACATTTTTCAGATACCCTGAGAAAGACCAATTTTCCTTCCTTCCTTCCTTCCTTCCTTCCTTCCTTCCTTCCTTCCTTCCTTCCTTTCCTTCCCCCCTCCCCCCCCCCCCCCACATCCCCCTTTCCCTTCTGTGCAGTGTCTTTCCAGATGGTGAGCCCGGAAGCAGGAATGGCTTTGCCCGAATGACTGCGTGTAAGAAGTTGCGGCAGCCTTTCTGGGCGAGAAGTGGGTGAAATGCACTCTGGGGAGACACGTGCTTCTGGCACCCTCGTCTCACGCTCCCCGCCTCCTGAGCAAAGCAGACGACGTGCAGGCAGAAGCGGAGTCCCGGCTGGCTGCAGCACACCTCTTTTTTCACCTCTTTGGCTTTGGCCTTGCTTTTGCTCTTCTTGCTGGAGCCCAGAGAGCCTGCCAGGCTGGTTCGGATGTCAGGAGTAGAGCTGACTATGCCCGGTGGAGAGAGGGAGGAGGAGGAAGAGGAGGAGGAGGAGGAAGAGGAGGAGGAGCAAAATGCGGCTTCTTTATTTTTCTTCTTCTGCAAAAAAGACAGAAAATTCCCAATCAGTAAAGTTTGCCAGGGAGTTCAAAGCAAAGGTAGCCTGCAAGCTGGACCAGCAAATGAAAACCAAAGGCGAAGGGGCTTGTTGATAAAACTCAGGTGCTTGTTGCTTGGGCTCAAATCTACCCTCTGTCTTTCCCTCTCACTCAGCTGTATTGTGGCTGCCGATGGGTTGAGCATGGGCTGTTACTGTCCTGTCTGAACCCAGGCACACTAAGAAACCATAGTTTGTTACCCACAACCAAACTACAAACCATGGATTCTCTTCATGGGTTGTTTCTGGCTTGATAGCAAAACTGGGTTCAAGCAAGAGGATAGTCTATATTTCAGTAACTACCCACAGTTCAAAGGCAACCCACGCTCAGCTCAAACACAACCCTGGAGTGTTGGTTGTGGTGTCTGAATCCAGTCTATGATTGCTGGTGGGTGATGTACAGAAAGATACTCTTTGATTCCATGCTGAAGCTCAAGTACAAATTAAAAGCAGGAGGTGAGAAGAGAACTCGACCTGCACCTTCAGGAAAGCCGGTTCAGGCCTGTTTCATACAACCAACTTTCTGAGTTTCGGGGACATAATGAAGCATCCCAAAGACTGTATTATAAAGGCTGAACGCAATTTTTGCAAAGCTGTGTTGATGGGTACGCAGCGAGGTTTACACACACTCGGATTTCCTTTCCAGGAATTCCTTCATCCAGGCCTCCGTCTACGTGCTTGCCCCTGTGGCCGCCCCCTTTCCACCTTCTCCCCATCGACCATGTGATCAGGTGTTGACAGAAGGGTGCGCAGGGATCAGAAAAGCCTCTGCTTATCAGGCACCCAGGACCCCCGCGTGGCAACAGTATCTTGGCCTTCTAGACAGTTTCCAGGCCCAACTCAAAGTGCAGGTCATGACCTTTAAAGCTTCTGCTGGGATATCTAAAGTCCTCTCATTTCCACTTAAGCCTGCTTGGTCACTTGGATCTACAGAATGCAAGAAGCAGTCTGGGAGGTGAGACCAAAGGTCCATAAAGCCAAGCATGACGTTCACACACCTGTCCACAGGAAACCCACAGGGAGGGCGTGAGTGCTGCCGCGTGGTCCTTCTTGCCCATATTCCCCAGCAATTGGTCTACACAGGCATATTGCCTCCGATTCTGGAGGTAGCATAGAGCCATCAGGACCGTAGCTAGGGATAGCATCTCTTGCTCTCACCCAGTTCCCCTTTAAAGCTATCCCAACTGGTGGCCGCCACGACCTCTCATGGTAGAGAATTCCACGATCTAACTTAGCACTGTGTGAAAACGCCCTTTCGTTTGTGACCTGAAGCTCCAGCAGTCAGCTTCAGAGGACATCCCACTTGGGTTCTAGGATTATGAGCATAGGAGAAAAACTGATCTCTCACCAAGTTCTGAGTTGTGTTGGACTGGGATGCAGGAGAAGGCCTTTTTGGGGGTGGTCACACCTGGGCTTTGGAGTTCCCTCCATTCTCTCCCTGCTCTCCCATGACTTTCCTTTATTATGTGGAACACTTCTTTTCTGGCAGAAGTCATCCATTTTAAATCTCCCTCACAGATCAACTCCTTCAAGTGTCCATCCATTCACTGATCGCATTTCTGGTTTTACAACCAAGTCCTTCCTTATGCTGTGAAGCGCCACCCTGAGCTTTTTCATGGAAAGTCAGACTAAACTAACGTTCAACCCACGGCTATGCCGCTGCTGCTCAACGAGCTCTTTGCAAATCAAGTGCCCAAGAGAGAACTTCCATATACATCACCTCAAAAGGCATCTTTCATTTTCAAGCTGAGGGTCATCCATCGAGCAGGCAACATGCAAACCAGTGCTCAGAACTCTGTGCAAAAAGGGGTTCCCAGAATGCTACAGAGCTGGGTTCACACGTGCGCTTTAAACATTAACCACGTTTCTTGGCCTTCCCTCTGAGCAGCGGCATCTTTGGCCTCCCCACGGCTGCTCCATCCATCAACGCAGAGTCCGTACCTTGCTGAGTTCCTTCCTCTCCTTCCCCTTGGTCCCATCTTTCTTGGGACTCAGGGATGTCCCCTTCACGCTGCGCCCGGACTTGGAAGTGGTGCTGGAGCTGGCTGGCGCGGAGGAGGACAGCACGGCCGAAGACATGGTGGCGTCGTGAAGAAAGATCCGCTCACTCCTCCGCCGATTCCAGGGGTCGTCGTCGCTCACCTCCAGCCCGAACTCGAAGCTCAGGTCCTTCGGCGACTTGAGCTTCTTCAGCCTGCGGCTCTTCTCGGGAGCCATCTTGGCCTTGTCCGCGTTCCCCACGGAGGGCACGTCCATGGCGTTCGCTGGGTGCACCGCTGCTGTACTGCTCTGTTCAAGCAGACCCTTCTTCCCACGCAGCAGTCCGGACGGAGACTTCTTTCGGATCTTCACTTCGCTCTCCGAGTCCGTGTACTCAAATTCTGTCCCTGGACATGGGAGGAGGAGGCAGTCAAATCAACCAAAGCGACCGTCTAGACCCAGTGTGGCCAAGCATTTTCCCAGGCTGGTGCCACGCCCTCCAGACAGGCCGGACTGCGATTTCCATCATCCCCATGGAGAGCATGGGTACCGGGGGAAGGAGGCAGTGAGGTTCTGCTAGGGTGGGGGTACAGCTGCTCTGAATTACTATTCTTTGCCGTATTGTCGTGATATTTCTATATCGATTGCTCTCTTATGTAAACAGCCACGAGCCTAGGAGAGCCAGCATACAAATATTTTAAATCTATAGCTCTAAAATTGACTTTGACAGATTTGACCATGTTAGTGGCCGCTTTCTTCTACCCTTTAAATCTGTCCTTTCAACACCTCAACAAAAGAGAGAGAGAGAGAGAGAGAGAGAGAGAGAGAGAGGGAGAGGGAGAGGGAGAGGGAGAGGGAGAGGGAGAGACACTGTCTGGAGGTGCCCTCTTGGGAAAGAGAAAGGACCCCCAGTGGTCGTTTTCTCTGCCCTGCATATGCTGGGTTGTGTCCTGCACTGTTCCCGTAATTACCTGTGCTGTGTGAACCTGTCAGCCAAGCTTCAGATCTCCAGGACAAGCCATCGGTTGGAGGGTGCTTTGGAAACCACCCCCTCAGCCTACCTTGTGGGGTTCAGGAGGCACGGCAACCCGTAAACGATGAGGAGGAACATGGAAGGGAAGCAGCACATGGCCAACAGATGTGGGGTCATTTCTTGGACAACCCACAACCCTCCCGACAGATGATCCGGCTCGCCACGGCTTGTTCTCCACCCATTCCCCTCCGCTCCCTGGCATGTATCCCAGGGGCCTTTGCAGCAGAACTTCTCAGTGACTCAGTCCCTACATCAGCCCCCTCACTGCAAGGGAGCCTCTCTCCATTCCGCCCACTTCGGCTCACTGAACCGAATTAATTTTATGAGCCCTTCTGAAGGGCACGGATGAATTTGCCCGATTTCCTCTCTCTTCCGGAGACTTTCACTGCCGCGCAAGTCCGTCTTTCCGATAGTTAGGCAAGTATTCCCGCACTCCCCCTTGCACTTCGGTGCTTACACTGCCAGAAAACACTTGTAAGAAAAGCTGCTTTACATGACCCTAAAGAAAGCACACCCCCTCCCATGTGCCTGCTGGCAAAGCTCCTCTCCAGCTGCTTCTGACTCCCCCCCACCCTGCCCCGTCCCCACGGTGGTTCCCTTCCTTGCTCGCTGTCCGTGTCTTGACATGACCGAGCAGTCGCGGGAAGCTGCAACACACAGAAGTCATTGCAAAGCCGGGATATGGAGGAGAAACTTGGGGAAAGGAGAGGGTAGCTGCCAGCTGAGAAGGAACCAGGGAGGAAGGCGGTGGTACAACCGAGACTGCGAGATGCGGCAGGGCCACTTGGGCTGGTCCTCACAATCGACAATAAAATTGCCCTCCCTGGTTCGGACAACGGAACAAGCCACCATGGGCTTGGGTAACCCAAAAACAAGTCCGGGGATCACAGGGTAACCTGGTCATGAGCAGGAAGCCACACAGGGCTCACATGGCATCATCATCATTATTATTACTAGTAGCAAGTAACAGTATACTAAATTTCTATACCGCCACTTAGCCATCGATGCGCAACAACCTGTGGGGAGTTGCGCCGCTCGCAAAGCCGATCTCCCCAAAGACAAAAGCATCCAGTTTGGGCTGCCACAGGGCAGCGGTTTCTCCATCTGTGACTTGAGGGGAAGCAGCGGAGAGAGTATTTCAAATATTTCCTCTAGAACATCAGCCACAGAACACATTTTTGATGACCAAACTGATAGCTCAAGTACTGGCAAGTCTGGGGATTGTTTGGCGGTCTGGGAACTGAGTCACGGGGTATCTGACTCAAACTGCTGGTCTCTGTGAATTGTCAGCACACTTAGAATTATCCACACATGGAAGTTGTCTGAAGGGCACAATCCTCCTGCTATTTATTTAAAATACAGGAGTCAAGGCCAAGTAATGCATATCTGTGGTCGTTCTAAGCTATGTTCTTGTTTCTGATTTTCTCCTCATTAACCTCTTGTTTTATTGTTCAGATATTCTTTTCTGTCATGGATAAAGACTCCATCTCAAGCTGCATTTGGCCAAATTTGCGACAGTTTCGAAATCCTTGATGCAATGCTATATGAATTTGTATTAATGTATCTGCTATGTTTATATTTTATATTAAAGGCCTCTGAACAGAGTAACGCATATTTTCTCCTTAACTCTGGGTTTTGGTGACAAAGCATTCTGTGAAGGATTATTTTTGCTTTCTCGAGTGTTGTGTTTCTGTCAGACAGACACCACCCTGGTGATGTTTTCCCAAACCCAGAGAAGAGGGATGGGGGAGACGCTGAGAGGGAATGCTTAGCGGACCCCTTCTGGCCAATGCAGAGTGCTTGTTTTGTCTAACTGTAAAATTGTTTCGAGGGACCGCTGTCAGGAAGAGCAGCAAATGGGTTTAGAGCAAAAGTCCAACCGAGGAAACGTCCAAGGGGCACTTCAGTGGGTGGAGGGAGCTGACCTTCCAGAGCCCAGCCGTTTCGCCCTTAGCCTCTAACACCAGATCTCCCCCCTCTTGTGGCCTGCGGTGAAAGAGAGAAAGCTGCATCAGCCAGATCGCGTGCATCTGAGCACGAGAGAGCAACTCACCCGTCCCGGAGCTGATCCGGCGGTCAGAAACACGACAGGTCTCTCTCCTGGCTCGATGGGGAACCAATGTGCAGCCCCAAACCTTTAGCCGGGGGCCCAGAAGAGCACTGGACCAGTTCTAACCACCTCCCGCTGCAGCCCTCTGTGCATCTCAGCCCCTTCTGCAGTTCGACCCACCTCCCAATGCCTCAGCTCCCACACCGACGGGGATGTCGGAAACGAGCCTCAGGAAATCCCCGGGCAGCGCTCTTGTGCCCGTAAAGGGGCCGCAGGATCCTTCCATCTCGAAAGGGGATACCGGAGATGCTGGTTCCCTCTGCAGGCATTTGTCTTGGAAAACCCCTGTCCCCAGGCTCTGACGGTAGGGCCTTCCCAGATCTGCCAAAGCACCTGCCTGGTGTGATGAAACATTCGCCCGGTGACGGCAATTCCTGGCTGCCTCAAACTTAGCAGCAAAACCCCTGTCCCCAGGCTCTGACGGTAGGGCCTTCCCAGATCTGCCAAAGCACCTGCCTGGGGTGATGAAACATTCGCCCGGTGACGGCAATTCCTGGCTGCCTCAAACTTAGCAGCACCCGTTCATAGCCATGGAAGAAAAGCCCCCCCCCCCAAAAAAACCCCTCCAAAACGTTTCCTAGAACTTAGAGAGAGACCCTCTCTGCTGAGCGCCTTCTACTTGTGTTGGACCACAACTCCCATTATCCTCAGCCAGCATGTCAATGGCTCATCACAACTAGAGTTCTTCTTGTCCCTGCCTTAAGCATCCTTAATTCCAGTTCTGCATTTTTTTTCAAGGAAATGCCTGGAAGAATTGCTGGTCTAACAATCAAAGAGGAAGTGGATTTTGTTATCGATACTTTGGAGTTTTTTGGAAGGGAGTGATCCCAAATCCGTTGAATTCTGTAGCCACATAACGGATCCAAATTTACATATTTTTCCAGAATTTATGCTAGTTACGGACAGGAACGAGAAAGAGCACGTACTACAATGGTCATTTATTATTACCATTTATTAATGATCCTCAGAGCCTCCCTTTTTTTCCTGTAAGGAACCTGCATGCTCTTCCTCCCCATTTTATCCTCACAGCAACCCTGTAAGGTAGGTGGGGCTGAATGTCAGTGACTGGCCAATTTCACCCAGCAAGCGTCATGGCCAGGTGGGGTGTAGAACCTGGGTCCCCTGAGCTTCAGCCCAGTACTCTAACCACTAGGCGACGCTTGCCCTTTTATGCCACACTTGATAAACTGCGCCTGATGCAGAGCTGCAACTAAATTGCCCCCACTTAGAGGAGGCTTCCCGCCCCCCCAAAAATAAATCTTTCTGTGGGCTGCAGCTCTGAACTTACAGTAAAAAGGCACTTAGAACAAAAGGAGGATGAATACATCCAACTTCCTCATGCCCTTAAAAGCCAAACTGGGCACAACATTTTCCCACAGCTGCCCCTTCAAAAATAGACGGCTGGCTCTGAGAAAAGGGGGCTGCCAGAAATTTTCTGCCACAGGAGGGCCTGACCACTCAGAAAATGGCTGCCGGGGGGGGGGGGGGTAGGGCTCCCCAATAAACACCGAACGCCCAGCAGGCAAATGGGGCAAGACTCAAAGCAAAGCCCCCCACACAGAAAGCAAAGCACAAGGCACAGGAGGGGCTTGAGTGCCAGAGCAAAAAACGACTCTCCTGCACCCAAACAGAGGTGGCACGGAAAGGCAGTGCTTTGCTCCTCAGCATGCCGGGCTCCCAGTTAAAATAAATGAGTAATAACAATAGGAATAGCAATAATAATCGTGCTAGCAATACTAATAGTGATAGCAGTACCCTGTTTCCCCGAAAATAAGACCTAACCAGAAAATAAGCCCCAGCGTGATTTTTCAGGATGCTCGTAATATAAGCCCTACCCCTCAAATAAGCCCCAGTTAAGATAGCCAGCCAGAGGGATGCATTTAGTACGTCCGTTGCAACACAATTCAGGGTTTGGAGAGTAATGGCGATGTTCCAGAAGAAGATGGCGTGACTGTATTTGAATAAATGTAGATTTTTGTACATGAGTAAATGTAGGTTCTTGTACATGAAAAAAGGCGACATCACCTGAAAATAAGCCCAGGTGCGTCTTTTGGGGCAAAAATTAATGTAAGACCTGGTCTGCTTTTCGGGGAAACACGGTAGTAGTACTAGCAGCAGCCTGACAGACACCAAGAGAGACTGTACTGAAGGACGCCAGGAGAGGATCTTATCTGTCAATATCTCCCTTTTGCACCTGGCCGGGGTTCAAAGCCATGAACCTGCCAGCGCATCTCTTCCAGGGAAGTCAAAGCACCCTTGGGAAAGAGCGTCAGCACGGCAAGCCTCGGGATCAAAACTGGAGGGCCTCTTCGCCCCTGGCAGCTTTTCTTTTCGGCTTTGCTGGTGCCCCTGTGGTGCTGAGCACCCCCAGAACAGGCTCCGATAGAGCTGGGAAGAAACACCCTGTTGACACCTGAGAAAACAGCCTCCACTGAAGATGGCCCAGAAAACCTGATGCTCCCAAGCCAGACTGTATCTGTTCGCGAGGGAGGGAGGGAGGGAGAGGATCACGACAGACATGCAAAGGCCCTGGTGGAGCCGAGAGACAAGAGGCTAAAAATAGGCCAGCCTCCCTTGGAAGACTTCATTTTCCATTCTGAAGCCCACTATAAATTCCATTATCATTTAATACATATTAATAAAGGGGTTTATAAATGGAGCCTTTAACAGAGATGCCTGACTTGGAAGGATGTTGCCCTGGGGGTACCTTTGCAGCCATCGGCACGCCAGGGAATTAAAAAGTGAAATTTCAATTATGCATGGGAGTGGGGGTGGAAACTCGAGACAGATGGAGAGGAAGGACGAGGTAAGGAATGGCTCTCCAGCCCCGGAATCCTTCCCTGCCTCTGGTTCAGGGCTGCTTCCAAGGCGGCTGGAACCCTTCAGTTTCAGTTTCCACATTGGCAACAGAGGGGCGAAGATTCCCCAAGCAGCGCATGGGACTGGGGGCAGGGGATGATGGAAATACTCTCTCCTCCCACTTCTTTAGTCTGACGAGATAAGCTCTCCTCAGGCAAGCTGCTTCTCGACCACATTCCTCCCCTTATCTTTGCCAAAATGTGTTTATTTTCGTTTTCTGCCTGCATGTACAGCCCACTTCCCCTCCTTCCTGCAACTCAAGGTGGCCGTGTGACCCAGACCTGCTTAATTTTAACAAGGTGCCTGCTTCATGCACCTTTCCTACCAAAGCCCTTCCTTCACTGCAGCCTCCAAGCCAGGCTAAAGATCTTCGCAAGCCCCTTACTAATGGCCCAACACAGGGATTTTGGCAAATCAGCAGCTCATTTCCGATTTGGTGAGAGGAAGGTGGTGGCTGGAAGGAACTGAGCTTGGGAAAGAAAGGCTGCAGCCACTGGGCCTCTGCCTGCCAGTTTCCTCAAGGGCACGTGCCCCTCTTCTCATCTGAGGCCTTTCCAAGCACCATGCTTTTGAAGAGGAAGGGCATCAGGGTTGGAAGCACTGAATATGCTAACTCCACAACCCTTGGCTCATTCCATATGCCCGGAAGAAGCCCTCTCACGCCAGGAATCTGCCCTGACTGGGATTGTTGCTAAGCTGTCCATTGTCTTTGAAACATGGGTTACAGGGTTGTCTGAACTCAGCCAAGTTAACAAGCATCGATGGTAAACAGCCCAGAGTTCATAATCCAGCAATAAACCACGGTCTCTCTTCAAGGGTTGTTCGGGGCTTGTGAGTATAGCTGGGCTCAGGCAACGTAATCCACAGTCTGCTGATCGCAAACCGCTTTTAGGCAAGGAGGCCAGGAGGCAAATCCCGTGACGACGATCAAGCAGCCACTCACCCATCAAGCTCTGCCTCTCCTCCTTCTTCTTGGCTTTCTGTTTGGCCTCCAGCTGAACGATGGAAAGGGAAGGTGGGATGATGGGACTCGGCATTGCGCTGGCCGCAAACCTCGCAAGGAGACCCAAGCCACTCTCGTCCAACGCAGGAGGAGACAACCTCTCATGGCCGCCTGTTCCATAGCCTTCCACAGCCTCTTCCTCCTCCTCTTCCTCTGAACTAGAATCTGTTGTGGAAAAGACAGGAAGCGTGTTACAAGTCAGGAGAATGTCATTTCACTGATTCTATTTCTATACTTCCCAACAGTCAATGTTTTATAGAATTGTGTTTCCATTGGGGTATCTTTCAACCCAAGACGATCACAGCCTCTTCACCAGCACAATGTCCAGGGTTGTTGGTGGGTGGGGGTTGGCCTTCGTGGAAAGTTCAGAGCTCAAGCCAGAACTGGCTTTCAACAAAGAAGGAAGATTCATAGGGAAGTATGGAAAGACACAAGGCAGTAACTCCAGAATAACTCTTACCATGAATTCATGGCAGGCAAAAAATTAAAGTTACATACCACTGTACATTACACACACAAATTCTATACACAGGTAAGGCAGTCACTCCCGAAAATTAAAAACCAAACCAAACCACATGCCTACTTTTTCTGCCCACCCAAAAAAAAAGATCCACGAATTTCTCAGATCCTTACCCACCCACTGCCTCAGTCCCCAAACTAAGTTGGGTCCAATATATCCCCAAACAGGAAGAGTTGCACAGGAATTCGCAATTTCCACAACCAATGCTAACCCAGAAAGGCTGTACAATTTTGGTACTGCCCTAAAATTTGACACTTTTGGAATCTCAGCTTTTCTTTTACAAAACGGCCACCCAAGTTCCATGCCTGGGGGGCTAAGAAGGCGGGCTGAATATCCTTTGGCTGAGGCTCAAGAACCAGGATTCAGCAGAGTCTAGGAAGGCAAGCCTCTTGCCCAACCTCCACCACTGCTGACTAGCAAAACAAGGGATTTTTCTTTTTAATGAAAACAAAGAAAATAGATGCAAAATGGTACAATTTATAACAGATTCAGTATTCACCTATTCCTGGGGGGTTACTCTAGGTTCAATCCATTTTTACACCCTGCTCTGATTATAGTTTAGGAGCCTAAATTACAAACCTAGCAAGAAACTGTCCCTTCAGTCTTGCAACTGCTGTCATCCGTGTTATGGTTCTAAAAAGACTGGGGGACTCTTCTTCTTGCTTTCTTGGGCAAGTTTATAATCTGCCCAAATGATTTCTTGTCTTCAGAAGATGAGGAAAGAGCGTCAGAGTTGCTCCAGCTGCTACTGTTTCCTTCTCCTTGCTTCTCCGAGAGACCCCTCCATCTCAAGGCCTGCTTTTAAGCAGACACACACTAAACTACAACATGGGGAAGAGTTGTGGCTACAGCACCTTCAGGGCCAGGCTCCTGGGCGAAATATTTTAAAACAAAGGCTCTTGGATGTTCTGATAAAAGAATATGGCTTGAAAATACAAAGTGTTTGCGAAAACACAGAATATAGTGCAAGAAAAGAATTGGGGGCACCATTTCATCAGGCCTGTGCCATACCAATTCCTTGCCTTAATAAAGTGGGGAATGAATGCATCTTTGGGCACGTGTATAGCAAATACGCTGCTCCTTTCACACATGCCAAAAGCAAAACTATTTATTCTTATTTATTTGATTAAAAGTTTTTTCTATCCTGTTCCCTACAGAACATCTCGGGACGGCTTACAATAAAACTAAAGGTCTTTCACTAGCCACTGGTTCCCATTACATCTGGACTGGGAAACCCTGGTTACCAGCTTCAGAAGAAGCCAGGGTGTGAAACCAGTTGCAAAAGGTGGTTTTGGAAGTGCCAAACTGGTCTTGTAAGGAGCCTAATTAGAAGAGGGTTGGGGAAGAGGCCAGGTTAGAACTGATGCAGGATGTCTCCAGCCATATGGCCTGAAACTTTTAGGGGTCCTATAAGACTAATGTTCCAAAAAGATTATTTTGGTCAGGCCAGAATAGGGTGGGTTTCATTAGGGAGTACATCAAATCCATGTCACCCATCCTTTGAGATCTGGCTACACATACCTATGGGTTAGACAAAAGTCCTCTGTACATGGACAAAGTCAGCATGTCTTTCTCTTTAAAAATTACTTAGCATGCTTGAACGCAAGCCCTGGTCTAAATTAAGAAAGCCCATTAACTAAGACTGCCCTGCTGCTACAAATGCATGCATTTAAAATAAAAACATGTTTTTCCCCAGAAACTGTTTTTCTCTCGTCCGTCAGGAACATGGGTCAGATATGCAGAAACAGTGAGACTAAAACTGAAGCTGACAAGACGAGGGTACCCTACTTCATCAGCAAATCAGTCCTGTTTTGGTGCTTGTCCCTGGATTTTGCAAATGAGTACTGAAGTTTTAGAATTTGGAATTATTTTAGTAAGGTTACTGAAATAGGAAAATTTACAGGAATGTATGAAACAGTGTTCTGGGGCTTAAAGAAAAATTCATGTTTTTCAAGTAGTTTATAATAATGGATAAATAGGGCAGTTCTCACAGAAGAAGTCTGCATGTTTCAGTTATATCTCATCCCAACCTTTCCATCCTAAAGCAGAACCCTCAAAGCAGCCAACCATCTCTGCAAAATCAGCAATCACAAAAACACAAAAAGCAAATAAGCAATTGCTTGTTACAACCATTATAAACCCTTTCTAAAACATAGTTTTTAAACAAAGTAACTGAAAGCCTTTTCTGTGTCAAATGAATCAAGTTTTCTCTTATCCTGAAATCATGAGTAGTAACCCATTAGAAACAAAATTAATGGAAGTATATCAAGATTCTAGCAAAAAAAATCAGGGTAGGCAACCAAGTCTTATAGGCCGCATATAATTGTGTGTGGTACAGGTAACCCCTGTTGATATTTGAGGACCAATTTTCAGATGGTATTGTCAATTCAGTACCAAAACTTTCCTTGTTTCCCGCCCCTATAACAGCAAAAATAAGGGAACAATAGCTTGGTTAAACAACAGACAGACATTTGTTAAGTCACCACATAAATGCAACAAGATGACTGCGAAAAGCATGGGCAAGGGGGATGAGGGGAGAAAAGGTGAAGCAATGCACATTTAAGATTAATTTTGTACTGTTAAATGAATAAATATATATAATGTTTATATATATTATAGCAAACACAGCACTGTTCCATCACGTTGCCAAGCAGAGCTGGAGCACACAAAGCTGGCTAAGAGCAGACAGACGTTCAGGCAGCTCTTGGCTCCTCTGCACCTGGCTTGCACTGGCCTGTCCGGTCATGTTTGGTTCTCTCCTTCACAATTTTACAGATGCTTGCACGTGTAATGCAGAAAACTCCACAATCATTTCATTTGCTGCTGACTCCAGAAACAAGAGGCGATCTCAGCAGGTGCCTTCCAGGGGTGCATGGAAACGAAAGCCAAAGGGGCGCAGTGAGAGAACCAGCAGCGCCGGCTTATTTTAGCTCAAAAATCTGACAGCTGGCAACCAAGCCTTAGGAAAAGTATTTCGGTAGAGGAAACCACCGATCAATGTTTGGGGCATGATGCTTTGGGGAAAGGGAGAGGGCCACTTCAGATGGCCTTGCATTAAATGTTCTCAATCGCAATTTCTAATCTTGTCCACTTTTGCCCAAAAGGGCATCAAAAGATATACTCCGGTCAAAACGGTGTCAGCAGGGGAAGCTCTTATAAAGGCAGCAGGCCTGGAATTCATTCCATAAAAATGCTAAGCAGTCTATTGGGAAAAGACTTGGAACTGGGGCAGAAATGTTTAGTCTGTTTTAAAGCTATTGATCAATGAAAACAGGGCCTTTGAAGTGGGCAACAGATTTTTTTTCAAATGAAAAGCCATCACTGGTTTTAAGCACAGTCTTTGGAAGAGGTATTCTGCGTTCTCCATGTGCATGCGGGAATGCCTCTTCTAAGACATTGCCTTCTGCAAGTTCTGGTGCATCACTTAAAAACAGAAAACGTGTGTTTGTTTCTGAAATCTTGCAAACTTTGCCAGAAGCTGCCAGTCAAGCTGTGGGCAGACATTTCCCTTATCACTGAAGCAGCCTCATTGCAGAAGCTCTAAAGAGAACGAAGCTCCTCTTTAAGAATGTCAACATCTGTGTCGGAGCCTCTAAACTAATTAACAGGTAAGGTTTAACTATTGCAATTTGAGGTGCTCCTTTTTAAGACAATGTCCTCATGCTAAGGAAAAGGGCACCTTATCTAAACGTCCCTAGTGAATAAGATTCCACAAAAGTTCTAAGGGATAAGCCCACCGAAGGAGGCCTGGGGCATCTTCAGCTTCTGAAAATCTCTCCATTGTCATTTTTCCAGGAGTGCAACCGTTTGCCCGAGATAATATCTTTCCCCTGACAATTGTCCTTTCTGGAGTCCTCAGCAAAATACAATTTATTAAGCCCTGTTCAGCTGTTACAAATTGTAGATGTAAGTGCCAGGGAGGTGGAGGTGGAGGTGGAGGTGCATGGATTGGGTCCAGTCCTCCACCAAAGGCGGCTTTCCAAAGTTGAACCAAAAGAGCTGGAGAGAGGCTGAGACCGAATGCACCTGTATTCCACTGTGCAATGAACTCCCGAGTTCTCAACCTTAGCCGTACACAGGTACATTCATTCTTCAGACTTTCCCAGGGAGCTCAGGTTAGAAGGAACAGGACTGCCCCTCCGCCCCGTGCCCCTTCCACGCTTCCAATTTTGTCAAACAAAATTCCTTGCAAAACAGATCACAATGGCCATCAATTAAGCATCCTTGATTTTTCTTTTTCTTTTTTTTTTAAGAAAAGAACGGTCAGAATATGGTGGGGGAAAAACATACTTTCACTGTCAATAACTGAATCAGAGGAAGTAAACTTAAGACCGCGGAACTGCTGAGATTTAAAGAGGATATCAAGAAAAAGGGGGAATTTTGCCTACCTACATAACAAGGTTCGGGTTCATGCCTAGGGACCTTTCGCTGAGCAGCGTCTGCCCCTACGCCAAGCCAAATGCTTTGCTCCTTTAGCGAATGCAAGTTACCGACACAGACACTCAAAGCATCATGGGAAGGGGTCAGGGATGAAGGGGTTGGCCAAGCAGCTGCAAGGAGAAAGCGAGCACGCTAGAAAAGCCGAGGTTATTAATGGTTTTAGTAAAATTAGGGAAAGCCATCAAAAATACTATTACACAAATATCCCTTTAAAATGAAACTAATCTGAGAAAGAGAAAGAGATATGCATTTGCGGAAATAGTGTATATGCCCCCTTCCTCCCGCCAGTTCCTCCCCTCCCGCAGCAAAAGATACCTTTCCGGAGCTCTGTTTTCATCGCTGGGCAATACAGATTTTAAAAAAGGATTTCTCTGCTTCTTTCATTCCCTAAACCCCTGACTTGAGGGGGAGGGGAGGAGTCAAGCAAAAGCAAGTTTGGGAGGGGGATCCAGAAATTCTTACATTATCTGACTGTCAAATTGGGTGGTTTTTATTTTAAAAAACACAGATAACATCAACATTTAATTTTTAAGAGGTTAAATGCACAATTTGGGCTAAGGAGACATGTTTTATCAGGAGTAGCTGCTACATGTTGACTCAGAAGTTAATCCCATTTTATTCAAAAGGGCTTACTCCCAGGTAAATGTGCATTACATTTACCATGCTCTGCCTTTTCTCTAATGTCATACAAAGACTGGGTTCAAACGATACAATAGCCCACACTCAAAGGCTGAGTAGGAGTTTAATGTGAGGTGTCACCGACCAATCGCTTGCTCTTGAAATGTGGGTTTCCACATTGGCTTGAGCCCAAATGCACTAGCAAACCATGGTTAGTTGAAGAGAACCCATGGTTTGCTGCTGGGTTGTGAACTGTGGCTTGTTAGCACAGCTGGGCTCAGACAACACAATAACCCACGGTTCACTGGCAACGCCTGGTTCAGCAACAACCCACACTCAACCCTTGAGTGTGGCTACCAGGTTGCCCAAACTGAGCTAAAGGCTGGGTTCACATGACAGGACAAGCCATCGTGGCTAAGTCACTAGCCACGATGGACGGCCATGTCATTCTAACCCAGACCACTTCCTGCAGGGTGGCTCATCTTCTCAGTTCTGGGGGCTGTTCAGTCCACAGAGGGGCAGGGCGGCCTATATTTGGGAGGGCAATTTCGCCAGGGGTGGCAAGAGCAGCAAGCGCTCTCCGATTCCTGCAGGCTTGTCCTGGTCACCACCAGTGACAACTCCTCAGCCAGTGCCCAAGGAGCACTTCGGAGCACCCATCACTGGCTCAGCACCCTTCCGCCTCCAGAAAATTATGCACACACACCTCCACTGCAGCAACAGGTGTGCCAAAACGGAGCCATAAAAGGAGGGGCGGGGGCCAAGATCCCCTCCTTTCTGAAGTACCTGGCGACTCAGGGGAGGGTCAAAAAGGTGAGGACACTGAAAAGCATCAGTACAACACCCACACCTGCAAGACCTAAATTGCTAAGCAGGTGAAGTCGCCTCCTTTCCCCACCCTTCTTTGCCGCTTTGCAACTGACAACTCAGCCAGCGGTTCCAGCCAGCTGTGCATGAATGGACTCACATGCAGCCCTGCCCAGTCAATTTCCTTGTACTTCTCCTGCTCTGTTTCTTTCATCCCTCGACAGCTGAAGCATGCAAGAAAATTGACCAGGCGAGATCGCACACACCGGACGGCTGAAACAGCGTACGTGCGAAAGACGTACATGCAAATAAAAAAGCTAATTTGAAAAACCACGAACATGAATGAACTAAACATTCATGGGAGCGAAACAACAATAATGACGCCAACTGCACATTTTTGAGGCTCCAAAAGTGAAATTGAAAGCAGCAGTGAATAAAAAGGGGTAGCAATTGAAACAAGGAGTGGGAAGCAAGCCAGTTTTCGTCTCAAAGGACACTGGCATCCCAGCCTTAGGACTGCAGGGAGAACAAGCTTTTTTTTTTTTTCATTTCTCTTTCAATGTGCATCTTTCTTCTTCTTCTTTTAAAGCCCATCTATTCGCGGGGTGGAGAAGGGGAGGCCCAATGCACTGCGGAATAATCTATTCACAGATCACAATTTAAGAGAAAGGAGAAATCTACCTATGCATTCGCTTTTCCTCTTGGAAAAGAAAGCACCTTAGAGAACTGCAAGCCAGGGATATTTGAATAATAGAGAAAACACCACAATTTTGTTAATCCCTTTTTTGAGGGAGGGGCTAATTCTTTGGGAGTGATGAGGGACAGTGGGATGAAGTGAAGCAGGAGTGTATCACCTAGTGAGAGACACAGCAAGAGAGAGACAAAGTACACTGGTTTAGTTAAAAACAAACTGGATACGTTTAATAAAAAGCTTGGTACCAAATTGCAGTACAAACATCACAGGGGCACTCCCACACAACACGTATTCTAATTTACAAACTTCCCCCCGCCCCCAAGCCTCTAGGCATGCCAAAAGGGAATTTGGAAAGTAAAAAAGAAGCCACATATAGCAACGGTACAGGCGACAACAGATGGCGCAGGGGCTGGTTTTGCTCGAGAAGAGTTTGGAAAGGGCGAGGGTCGAGGGAGACTAAAGGGAGGTGCGGCAAAGAGCAGACCTCCGGCTGATTAAAAAGTTAAAGCTCTCAGAAGCATAATAGTTAATAGTGATGGTGTCACAAACAGACTTCTCTTCTGCAGGAAAAGGATATGGATAATGCACGTCATCTAAGATGGCCGATGGCCGCCCCATCCAAGATGGCAGGCCTCGGCCCCACAACACCTACCCGCCCTCTCATTCATTCAGACAGGGAACCGTTTGGTTTTGGGTTTTGTTATAATCTAGTAACCTTGATCGAACGAGTCCTCCGAAGAGTCACTGAACGAAGATCCGGCTTCGGCCTCCCTGGGCAGCAAGCAGAACGGCTGCTTCCTGCTGGCAGCCAGTTTAGATTTGAGAGTCCTACTGGCGGAGATGGCCTTCTTGGCGGCCTTGAGGCCTCGTGTGCTCCTGCCGCCTACACTGTAGAGGCCAGGGGGTCTCACTCTGGAGCTGGCTGGGGAATGAGAAGACCACTCGTCCTTCAGGGATTCGTCATCTTCCTCAGATTCTGTATCTGCGGTCAATGTAGTTATTATTATTTAAAACACGGAGAACAGAAGAATCTGCTGGCCTACATCTCACACTTCTACCCAACTCGCCGAGAAACACCAGCATCTGCAATGGCAGGGAAAACACTTGCGGAGGAGGCAGGATAGAAAAATCTGCATCTTCTCGGGACCACACATCACCACCACCATCCAAAAGACATATGCACACTAATACAGAAATCGGTTCCTAACAGGAAAAAATCTCAAGCCACAATCAACACAATGAATAACAGACACAACCTATGTTTAAGACTCTACACATACACTACAAAGATCACGGCCTAGTTTGCCCATAATGCTAACCCATTCTGGGCTGTCACGATGCCAGAAGATGGCCCCAGGAATGTAGAAAACATACCATGGCATATTTGATCATCTGTCAGAAAAACCCTGGGTAGTGTAACCAACCACAGGTTAAAATAAGCCATGGGTTAACATTTATGTACAAATGTGGCTTGTGTCATTCTCTCCAGTGACATATGGACCAAGCCTGGGCAGGGTGTTGAAAGCTGCCGTTCCTTCTCTACCCAAGCCAACAGGTAGCAACAGAGGGAAAATGCCATGAGAGAGATCCTGCTGGGTGAAACCCAAGACCCATCTAGTCCCACATTCTGGTTCTCACTGTGGCCAAGTAGGAGGCCTCTGAGAAGCCCATGAGCAGAGCTTCTGGACATCAGCTGTCTCCACGGACGCTCCCCACCAGCTGGTCTTCGGTGGCACATGCCTACCGAGCCCGGAGGTCCCATCCAGTCACCACGACTGACCACCTTCAACAGACCTCTCCTCCAAGGCAGCTCCTTGATGAAAGGAAACCCTTGCTCAGTTTGGAGTGAACTCATGTCTGCGATCGGCCTGGTCTGACCTTTCCTGCTCATACACTCCAAGCCCCATTGCAAACCGAAACTCAATTACCGTAACTACGAGGCGTCCGAGACCAAACCTTGAGTCCTACCAATGCCAGTCAGAAACATGAAGGCAAGATACCGTCCCCGCCCCCACTCACGAAGCTACTTACTATATGAATAGCTGCTGACTTCAGATATCGCTGGTGAGCCGGAAACCTTTGAGTGAGCCTTGACTCTTAGACCCTCTTCCATCTTCTTCATCTTGCTGGCCATTTTGTTTTTACCTTCTTTGGAAGATTTCAGCGAGAAGCTCAAGGTTTTGGCCAAGTTCTTCTTTTCGTCCTTGCTGAGCAAGGCCTCGTGATGTGACAGGTACCGACTGCCATAACATCCGCCATTTTTTTGCCTCCCAACAGAGCTGTCTGCGTACTTAAAAGGAGACTTCAGTTTGTGCCTGGTGAGGGACAGGGCCTTGTCCAGCTTGCTCACCAGCTGCTCCTGTTCGGAAGCCAGCTTCTTCTTCTTAATTTTTAACTACAGAAAGGGAGAAAGGCAATAAGCATGAGCAAACGCGTGGCAAATACCTCCAGCTCAACCTTTTGTGGCTGACTGCATTTTCCTTTACTCAAACTTTTGGCCTGCAGAAAATCCTTACTCCTCCAGGGAGCTCTCCATCAAGTGTGTTGCACTTTCTGAGGATCAAACCCAATTTCAGAAAAGTTCCTGGGTGCCTCGCTCGAGGGACGTGAAGGACAAAGGCAATGGGGGGAGGCTCAAATGCAGACACGCTGACACTGAAGCTCTTAAGGCCAGTGACCAGGCCTCACGAAACGCATTTCAAGCGTTCAGAATTGCAGGGAAATGGCACAAAAGCCGGGAAGCCACGAGCAGTCCGGGGAGAGCGAGCGTGGTCCTTGTGGCATGTACGACGGACCCGGATGAATCCCTGGGCGGACACACTGGGGACCCCCACCCCGCCTGTCCTTCTGCACCCCTGCCCTAAGGAACTCGAGAGCGTGGCCAAGGATCCCAGCGCTCCGCCTCGAGCCGTCTTCCCTCGCCTGGTGCTTTCCAGAAACGCTGGGCAACAGGTGGGGGGCACGGTGCCCAGCACGTGAAGAGCACCAGCCTGAGGGGGGCCAGCCATGCTCCGTTTGGGAACAGCCCGTGCCAGTCCTGCTGGGCCTTGCCCACTGAGCTCACAACCTGAGCAAACCGGCATTCTGTGAGAGAGCACCGGCTAGGGTGAGGACGGCAGTTGCCCAGGGGGACCTGCCCCTTCTAATCTCCTCTGGGGGCAACTCTACTGCCCCCACGGTAGCTGCTCGTAAGCCTCCGAACTTGGCAGCCACGATCTCTGCCACCCCACAAGCCCCCCGTTTTCTCTAGAGGGCTGCTTTTTATAGAACCTGCACTCTGTAAGGTTGCTCTAAAAGGTCCCAGCCAGTTTCCAGCACCGCCATCGATTCCAGCAAACTTAGACAGGGGCAACTGTATAAACAGATGAAGGAGAGCAAGAGCTCTATCTGGACCTGGACATCATGCACAAAGCCCTCCTTATCTACGTCTTGGAATAGGAATTTCTGAACGGAATTAAACCAGAGGAAAAGGAACTGGCTGCCAGAACCCCAGAACAGCTAAGGAACAAAACTGCTCCTTTCCAGCCATTCCCATCAAATTTAAGGCATAAATGAGAGGATGCTGAAGGATGATATGAAGGTTACTATGTGAATACTGACGTCCTCTTTCCAAAGGGATGGAAAGCATAATTCAATGCTACACAAAAAACAGAATCACACAATCCAAGGAAAACAAAAATATGCCACAAGGAAAAACACACACGTGCTTTATTAGCAGAAATGAGAATGGGGAATCAATGGTGTGGCTCTAGGAGCAAACCAGGCTTTGCCCTGAACTCATGTGAGGATTCACGAAAGGAACCGCGCATCTTATGAAGATGTTTCCCTGTCATTCTGCCATGACGCTGCAGGGGCCCTTATACATGTCTTCATTCCATGAAAGGCACAAATGCGTGTCTTAAAGAACTTGGACATGTGCCTCTCCCAACCTTCACGGTAAGATCATCCAAAATGGTGCAGAGTTAAGATGTGGCAACCGCAGCCAAAATCATACAGGGATGATTCCTTTACGTTTAACCATAATCTGAAGAATGGTTTATAAAACGTAACCCTGCTGTGGGTATGCAGGGATGGATTCCCCAAGAAGAGTCACCCTGGTGGTATGTCCCTGGCACAGGGGACCGTATAAACTCAAACACAACGCTGGAGCGGAATGGTTTGCTCCACTGAGACCCACCTGGTACCTATATCGTCATCTTTCTGGTCCCTTCTCAAGACTGCCCTGTACCCCCAGACCTTTCATAGCAAATGAGGGCCCAGTGAGTTGTTTTAACAGGTCTCATTTTTAATTGGTATTGTTGTCACTTGAAATATTTTAAGTGTCATGCATTGGAAGGTTCTCTTGCATTTCTTGAATTTGTATTCTTATTGTGATCTGTTTTTATATTGCACCTATGTTTACAAATTCTTGTGGGAACCACCCAGAGAGCTTTGACTAATGGGCACTGTGGAGATGATGAAGATGATGAAGATGATGGTTTTCTTTTGAACCACAGCGACCTACCTCACTGGAGAAATTCGTCAACACATCCTGCTCATCCCAGTTGCGATTCCTGCTTTTCCCCTTGCCGCTCCTGCTCTCCACATCGTCTTCCTCGTCCAGGAGGATGCCCCGGTGTCTCTTCCGCGTCCCTTCACCCGTCTCCGAGTCTTCCGAGAGCAGTAAGGACTTGCTCAGCCTGAAAATCAGATGTAAAAAGTGGGGGCGAGATGGTGAATGGGCCCATCGTCACTGCCCTGAAGGATCTCACACGCAGGCAGGAGAAGTCGCGGCTCTGCAACGCCTCCCTCGCTTCTGATCCGACACTTCGAGAGATACTGGCCACAATTGGACGTGGGGTCTGAAGCCCCTGCACCCACTGTTCCTAGCTTGAGGTGCCACGTAGAAAACCTGGCAGTGATTTACAGAAGTGGGATGCATCCACGCTGCCTCCACATTTTGGACGATTAATATTATATTGCAATATTATTAAAAAAAACTGGGAATGCCTGTCCCACAGGGAGTTAAGGCAAGGAAGCTCCCTTCTGACCAGCAAGCAATCATTTATCCCACTGTTGCTATTGCTGGGAAAAGAAACCAGGCCTCTGTTTTGACCCCGTACACATAGAATCTTTCTATAAGATCACAGAATAGTAGAGCTGGAAGGGACCAAGAAGGCCATCTAGTCCAGCCCCCTGCTGTTGCAGGACACCACGTCACACCCTCCCACTCAGAGGGCTGCCCAGCTTCTCCTTGAATGCCTCCAGTGTGGGAGAGCCCCCCACCTCTCCAGGCAGCTGGATCCCCTGTCGTATTGCTCTGACAGTGAGGAAGCTCTTCCTGATGCCCAGCCTGGATCTGGGTGGTCGCAACTGGAACGGATTATTCCGTGTCCCATGGTCTGGCATCAGCGAGAAGAGACCTTGACCTTCCTCTGCTGGCCTACAGCTTCCCGCTTGCCTTATAACCAGCCCAGGACTGGCCAGGAGGAAGCGGCAGCCATCTCCTCTTCGTTTTGCATGTGGCTTGCCTCCAGCGAGGGGACCCTGTCCAACATCCCTGGCTCCTGAGGAGGCAAAGCCTCAAGAACGCCTTACTCGTGGGAGCACGTGAAGGGCCTTGCTGGATCAGGCCAGGGCCTGTCTTGTCCAGCATTCTGTTCACACAGTGGTCACCTGGCCCTTAGGAAGCCAACAACCAAGGCAGCGCCTTCCTGCCAGGTCCCCTGCCACAGGTGTGCACAGGTGTGGTGCCTCCAGTACTCGGAGCCATCCAAACAGGTCGCCACTGCTAGGTTTCTCCCTCTGTGAGCTTCTCGCGTTCCCTTTTAAAGCCATCCCAAAGACGTGGCCCTCACTGCATAGTGGCTTAGCCATTCCGTGGCTTCCCTCTTGCTTGCCTCTGTGGTGTGTGCAGAACCTCTACACACTGCACCAGAAGGCCAGGGGGACCTTCTGCTGGGGAAGCCCTTGAAACTGAGAGGGAACCGAACAGATCACAGGATAGGGAAGGACCAAAAAGTAGCCCCAAACATCCTCTAAGGAAAGACTAACCTGTCAAGTCCTTCTCTTCGTACCCTCCCAGAAAGGAGATTCTCCGGCCTCCCTGTGGTTGGTTGCTTAGCTGAGGTGTTATTAGCTCTTAAAACCTTTCCCCAGGTGTTGAACTGGAAATCTAGCTTTTTGTTCAGTTTTAAAAGAGTGCCTTTCTTTGAGAACTCCTTGATGACCCACTGGATTATCTCGCCCGTCTTTTCGGCTGCTCTTTCATCTTTTAGCTTATTCTGTAGAATAAGTTGCCCCTGGACACACGCTCATAAATTCAGAGTGCCCAGTCCAAGAGGCAAAGATTGGCAGAGATGGAAGAGGAAGAATGGAAGTTGCCCGGAATATACGAACTCTGGGCGTTAAGGCACGACCCTTTAGGAGTTCCATTAGACTGATACATTATACATATTCATGGATGCCTGTGATTTGGATGTCACACTGGCGAGTTGTGGGTTGTTTAGCCTAGAAATTGCAGGGGTGAGTAGGGCATGCAAGCTGCATGCTTGGCATTGCTTGGGTTGTTCTGCAATGTCTGGCCACTCCAGAAGCTCTGGGTTGTTGATGGGCTAAACAACCCAGAATTAACCCAACAACTAGCCATAGGCAATTGCTGAGTTATCTCTGGGTTGTTCAGTCCCCTAAACAATGCAGAGTCTGTGGCTTCAGAATCTCCTGGGTTGTTACTTGGAAATCAAAGTGGCAGGCAGTGTGCTCATTTGCTCTTGCACACCCTCACCAATCCATGGGTTAATCAACCCAGAAATTGACCATTACGTGAGAACCAGGTCAGTGAGTTTCCCAAGCTTTTCAAACTAGCAAAGCGAATAAATAAAACACAGGAGGTACAAAGGAGGGATGACGACACACTGGATACACAGCTACAGAGAAAGCAGCAGACAGGCAGACAGACAGGCAGGCAGGCAGACAGACAGACAGACAGACAGACAAATGGCTCTAGGCAAAAATTGCCCTAGAAGCCCTTGACAACCCTGCCAATGCCAGCTCCATGTGAGGAAGACATCTCAAGACAGCAAGGATGACCAGGTGCACAACATCCAGTCAAGCGAGATTCCTGAAGCCCCTGAACTGCACAGAGCTGGAGAGAAAAGAGGGGGGAAGCTAACCTGGTCCAAGCACCTAAAAGGAGAAGTTCTACGTTCATCAACCAGGCAGCAAAGACAAACGGAAGCAGAAGGAACAAGCACCACAGACAAGACACAGCGAGACCAAAAGAGCCCCTACACAGATCCATGGTGGGCGCTGGGGTTCCCTTTTTAGAAACACATAATATTACATTGCCATCGCTCAGAAGCAGCGGGGGATCCACCACGTGAGCCAACGGTCCGGTGACCTGCCCTATCGCCCGGCGGCTGCGGCAGCCAGCCTTCCATCCCACGGGTTGGTTCCGGATTCCCTCCACACCTCGGCGGCTGCCCCACACTTTGGGCCCAAGCCACCTTGGGAGAATCGCCAGGCCCACGCTGTGCCTCTCCTGGTCCAAGATGCTTGCCACTGCCAACTGAGCCCTAGGCTGGAGAGAGAGTGAGTCGCTCCCGGGCAGAGACCCTGCTTCACCCGGCTTCCCCACAGGCCAACCTTACTTTCCACTCCTGCCGTCACTCTTCCCTCTTTCCTTAGGGGGCGACAGAGCACTCGATCCATGCTTCCTCTTCCTGGGCCTTCCTGGCCCTCGTCTCGCCAAGCTTCTACTTTTCTCGTCATGCTTTTCCCTTAAAAAAAACCACACGCTTGACTGTTAACCAAAAGCAACTAGGAAAAAATGTTTTTTTTAAGGAAAAAAAAGGAGAAGAAGGAAGAGGTAGAAAAGAACTAAGAGAGAAGGAGAAGAAGAAACTGAAAGCTACTCTTGGACCATCCACCAAAAGTCTCAACTCGGAATCTCGACTCGGCCCTACATCCACCAGGAATACCGCCACCAGCAGAGAGCCTCCAAGTCAAACCCGTGGCTAGCGCACGTCACGTTTAAGAGCCATGAGGTTGCCGGTCCAGTCCCAACACCTTTGCGAGCCCTGGCTTAAGCATCCGTTGCACCAAGAGAGGATCAAAGAAGGGAGCGAAGGCACAAGCCTGAAGATCTGGACGGCGCCTGACCAGCCAGCCACAGGGGGAAATCAGAAGGACTTACGCGGAATCCCTCCGTCGCTGCAGCTTCACCAGCTCTCGCTGCTTCTCCTTGTATCTCCGCTGCAGCTCGGCCAACCTCAGCCTGTAATCCAGCTCCATCGCACCCATGTTCTCGATGGCCGACTTGATGGAGTACATCTGGAGCGGGAAGCCAATGAGGATTTGGGGAGAGAGGGGAAGGGAAGACGGTGAGGGCTCCAGTCTAGTCTGCAGAGCATTGCAGGAGGCAGCTCAGCCCTAGGATGCTAAGAAGGGAAGAGGAAGCCATCCCAGTAATGGGGCATGGGACCTCCTGTGGGACCACCAACAGCCCATCCTGCCACCTTCAAAACGGCTCTACGCAAAACCCTAGAAAAGGTTCAGGCCAGCCCTCTTTCTCTCCCTTTCTTGCTCTTCGCCCCGTATCCCCCAAGCCTTGTTCTCTCTCCCTTTACCACCCCAGGCACCTCTCGAGCCCACTTTGGACCAGCCAGGCCCACAGGGAAGCCTTGGCGCGACCAGCCCCGTCCTCGAGGGAGCCCTTCCGAGACGGCAGCCCCACAGCAGCTTTGCAAGACAGGACCACAAGGACGTCACCTGGGGCGGAAGAGCGACCCAAACACAGGAATGCTGCCTCATCGCCGTTCGGAGAAAGCGAATCACGGGCGGATTGCCCTCATCTTTTGCAAGGAACGATATCATAGGACGCTTTGTAGCGAATTGCGACGCTTGCAGGGAAGTCCTGCAGAGGCTGGAGACCTGGGGTCAAGTCCTCCTCACAGGGCGACCTGGGGCCAGGCACTCACCCTCAGCCTAAGCTACTCTGCAGGATTGTCGTTATGGGGATGGAGCAGTGTAAGCTACCTTGGGCACCCCACCAAAGGAAAAAGGTGGGACAGAAATGCAATGTGACAGTAACAACCGGAGAGCGGGGAAAACTTGCAGGCTGCCTTGGCTCTTATGTCCTTGCTTCTCAAAGGTAACTCAGAACATTCCGCTCCCTCCACTTCCTCTTGCCTTCCCACGTTCCCTTTTGGGCCGATCCCCAAAACCTCACGGCCCGTCTCACCCATGTCTAGCCACAAAGCCGGGCCCCGGAACTGCTCACCGGTTCATCTTTCTTCTGCATCCAGCTGTATTTCTTGTTGGGGTTCAGCTCTCGAGGTAGACGGATGTTTTTCAGGCTGTCCATGAAGGGGGACGAGAGGGCTTCCATCAGCATCTGCGTGCCTGCTGCTAGCAGGCTCTCCAGGGTTGGGCGAACAGGGAAGTTCTCCGGACCTGGTTTGGAGACAGTTTCGGCTTTGGTTATCACGGAAGTGCGCCCTTCCTCTGCTCTTCGCACACTCAGATCCCCTCCCTTAGTCCGCAGTTTGTAGTGACAAGCCATATATTTCCCATACAACCAAACCTGGCAAACTACAACTTGCACAAATGCTGATTTGCCTACAAACTGTGACTTGCCTATCATTCGTTGCCCAGCTCAGCTCTAACGGCGATCTATGGTTTCCTGCAAAGTGGTAGTTTAAAATATCTGAGAACACACCTGAAGAAGGAGGGTGCAAACCAGCAAACCACAGTTCAGTGGCTGGCTCCACACCTGCCCCCGTGCTCAAAGCCACCTGTTCCCTTCCTGCTGCCTTCTCCACCCTTATTTCCCATAGGAAAAGATTCTGAGTTAGATGGGACTTTGAGCTGATCCAGCAAGACAACTCCGACGAGCGGACAATTCCACATCTCACTTATGGAAGAAGCAAGCCTCTTCCCTCAGCTTCAGCAGGTTCAAAATTCCTGGCACAACATGGTATTCGTGGAGATTTAAAACAAGCAAACAAAAAAAATTTGGGTTGGAAGGAAGGAACCGAAAAAAAAGCATAACTGGAAGTGCCCAGAAGAAAGATGAAAGAAGGCGCTGGATGGTGGGAAACGGACTGTCCTGGGCCTTCAACTGACCAATGCTTTGACCGAAACAGGGAAAGAGCACCAGCAAACCCCAGCTCACCAATATTCTACATTTTGTGAAATTCACTTGCTTTGAGTATATTGAGGAATCAACCTGCCGGATCGCTCCTGTAATACAGCTGTGAGCTACTGGTGTGGCTGCTCCCGATTCTGGTTAAGGTGATGTGATACCGGTGGGCATGCCAGGCCCCTCCGCCGGACCTTTGCAATCCGGGGCATTTGTGGAGAGGGGCCCCTCTGCACCCAGTGGGGCTGCCCCACGGCCTGGGAGAACAGCCCTCCGCTGGCCAACCCACCTTGCACTTCCTGCCTCCTCCGCTGCAGCTCCAGCTCCGCAATTTCGCTCAGCAGCGTGATCCCCTGCAGGAATGTGTGCCCGGGAGACAGGCTGGAGGACAGCTCCAGGTTCACCAAGGCCTCCTGGGCCACCCCGCCGCTCGTCAGCAAGGGGCAGGCCTGGGGCAGCTCAGCCGCAGCAGCCAAGGCATTCATGCCGGCCAGGGGGTCGTCCGGTTTGATGTCCAGGGCCGGGACTTGGCAGGAGACGGCCTCGTTTCCATAGCAGGGGGTCCCCAGCCCGGGCTCTTCCCCCTCTTCCTCTTCCCCCTCTTCCGGGAGCATGCTGGGAAATTCCCTCGCCCGGGGAGAGCTGATGTGAGGCAGTTCGGCGGCCAGGGAAGGCTCCTCAGGCGGCGGCAGGAGGGTCACCCCAGCCTGCTCCGTGTCCCTGTGCAGCAAGGCCCCGTCGAAGTCGGTGTGGACAGGACAAGCGTCCGCACCGCCAGCCGCCTCCACCTGGGCCTCCATCTCCACGGAGCAGGTGATGACCTGATACGCCGGCGGGCAGCCCTGCAAAGCTTCTTCCTCGTGCTCCGAAGCACTCCGGGTTTTGCTGTGGTGCAAGAGGAGGTTGCAGCCATTCACCTCCTGGACGGGGACGGGGACGGCGGGGGCCAAGTTGAGGGCCTGCATCTCCTGTTCGGAGATGCCGCTCTCTCGGTTCTCGTCCATCTCCACCTCCGTCTTCACCCGCTCTTCCAAAGACTCCGGCTCCTCCTCCGACTCCTCCGACTCCTCCACCGCCTGGATGGGCTTGACGATTTTGGATGGGGACAGGTGGAGGGGCTTGACCTCTGGCGAGAGGGCCAGGCACTCTGGGTCTCCAGAGGGTAACGGGACATCGGGGGCCAAGCCGTCCGCGTCTGACGCAGCGGTGGGCTGAAGGAGATACGGGTAGTGTCTTCGGAAGGACGCTGGGAGGGACTGGAATGGATATCCCGACGGAATTTCTGCAAAAGGAAGAGCAGCCCATCTGATGAATCGACGTTAGCGAGGACCTTCCCCGGAGAGGGACTCCCTTTAGAGAGCTTTCCCCACTTGTCCTTTTTTACAGAGGGCAGTCCTCTGTTTGAAGGGATGACCTGTCCAACTCCACCTGAATGGCAAAAGAAGCCCAGGGGCTGCTACCCGCCCGCAGCACGTACCTGAACACCATCTTCCACATGCCGCCGAGGGGTTTTACAATACACCCATTGAAACGGCAACAATTATTTCCCCACGTGTATCTTTACCTATCTGTTACCTACACAGGTAATTATTTCTCCCAGCACATCTTTACCTATACCTTTGTTTGGCTCAGCCTACTGCCCCCTCCCCTGCCGGTCCTATGGAACAGGTCAGGTGCTACGTCTTGATCGGTCATTAATTAAGTTTTCCGTGGAGCAAGCTGGGGGCGTCCTTTGCTTTTGGAGGGGGGAGAAAGCAAAAGGAAACGGCACAAACAGGCCGGGGGCCCCCACCTGGCTTACCTGGGAACAAGGCCCGGTACGGGCTGGAGGCTTCCTTCTCCAGCTCCAGCTCCTTCTTCTCCACGTTCTCAGCCTCTTCCTCCTCTTTTGGGGGGAGGGAGGGGGCGGGGGGCGGAGAAGCGGGGGGAGGGCTGGACGGGTGGGAGGCGGGCGTAGCGGGGTAGGCGTAGCCCGGCTGCGTCGGTGGCTCCTCCATCTTTTGGATGACCTCCGCCTTGAGCACGGAGACGGGGGAGGCCCTGGGGGACAGGGGAGGGGGGCTCATGGCCTTGCTCTCGGGCGCGGGGGTGCTGGGGGACAAGACGGGGGGCTTCCGGTGCAGGACGGCAGGGCTGGGGGCGGCGACGCCTGGCTTGGCACTGTCCAGGCAGCGTTTTGCCATCTTCTCCTCCATCTCCACCCGCTGCTCGCTGGCCTTGAGCCTCTCCTGTCAAGGAACGAGAAAAGAGGCAGTGGAAAGGAAGTGGCGGCCCCTGTACCAGGGACAAGCGGACGGTTCGAGCCGGAGCAGCTTCAGAAAGGGCCCTGGGTACCACGGACACACGGCCGCAGGGGAGGCCCACGAGGACAAAAGACCGACTGCAAAGCCAAAAGGAGGCCTGAGCCCCGAGCTCCCTTCGAATCCCACACTTTTCAGTGTCAACAGAGGCCTGTTCTGCAGCTGAGAAAATGTGTTCTCTTTATCTTAAGTTGGAGATATTTTATTTCATTTTAGGTTGGAGATGTTTTATTTTATTTATCTTTATTTTAAGGTAGAGCACTTGGAGAGCACCGAAGAAAGACACCTGGGGACACTCTGGTGCCCACGAGCACATCCTGCCATGCACATTTACCTGGGAGGAAGCCCCACTGAGCTGAGCAAGGCCTGCTCCATGCGCAGACAAATGTAAGGCAGTGGCACAAATACATTCGGAATGGTTTGCTTAGCTTTGCCCACTGGTGCTCTCCAGACACTTTGGACCGCAAGTCTCAGCATTCCTGACCATTGGCCATACTCGCTGGGGCTGCTGGGAACTCAAGTCCCACATCTGAAGGAAAGCTATGCTATGGAAAATGCCGAAATGTCAAAATTATCTAGGGCAGTCAAGTGCTGCTCTTCAAACGACGTGGTTTGTACTTTGGTTTATTTTTTTAACCTTATTTAGGTCATTTCTGCATTAAGTAATACAGAATAAACTCGGTTAAAAAATGAAAGATAAACAAGGTTTCTGAAGATGCCAATGTGGCCACTGGTCCATCTGGACTAACGTTGTCCATTCTGACCTCAGCAGCTCCAGTCCCCGATCTCTGTGGATCTGCCACGTGATACGGCACCTCTTGAGAGCGCTTCCCAGGCCAGGTCAGACAAATTACCCGCATCTCAGTCTCTGCCACTGCTGTCCCTTCCGGTGCCAGCACCAGAGTGGAGTCAGCTGCACGGCCTTCTTGCTGACTGATCCCTGCCTTCGATTTGCTTCAATAAATAGTTCCCCAAAGATCCTTGCAAATCGTGTCGCTGGCAAAATTCAAGGGCATATTAAAAGGGAAGGTTTGGAAGAGCTCAGTATTAATTCTGTGCAGCTAAAACTTGCTTAGTTGGATTTTGGAAAGTTCTTGAACGTGCTGGACTGGCAAGCGGGGAGACCTGGGTCCTAGTCGCCACCCAGCCGTGAAGCTCCCTGGGTGCCGGTCGCTGCCTTCAGCCCAACTTACCTCACAGGGGAGGCACTGAGCTGAGGACTAGCCTAACCTGACCCCAAGGTGGAGCTAGGGAAGCGACTTCCTCACACAGGCAGGAGAGAAATGCGATGTAACAACACCGCCACCCAACAGCAAAGACTACGGAGGCCTTCCAACGGTTCACACAATTTTGCAAAGGACACACAGGCAATGCAGTCCTTCTGAGCATTCCTGCCGAAACTGGGAAGGGCAGAGGCGCTTGGGGAGGTGCTCGTCGCGGCCCCGAGGGACCTACCACCAACTGGGCACTGCGGTGCAATTCCATGGTGTGGGCAGCTTGCTGCTGGAGGATGTACAACTCGTGCTGACGGATCAGCTGCTGGTGAGAGAGGAGCTGCAGCTGGTGGGCATGCTGGAGGGAGCTCCTTGTGGGGGGGTACATGGCGGGCCAGAGAGGCGGCGCACGATCCATCAGCTCTGCTGAGAGAGAGAGAGAGAGAGAGAGAGAGAGAGAGAGAGAGAGAGAGAGAGACAGAGCGCACTTCCTTACCCCAAGGCTGCAGAAATTCTGCTCCACAAAACACTAAGTTCCGAGATCTCCGTCAACTTTGCAATGCAACAGCTGCGTGTATTGTGCATCGATTTGGCAAAACGTATTATGCCCGCAAGCAGAGAAGGCGGGCTGCTGGAGATGGCTCTCACACACCCACACCTCTGGTTTTGAAGCTTCTGACTCAAATAGGCAGTAAAGCCTGTCGGCATAAGGACTAGAAACTTGGTTTCCCCTTTGGTTTGGAAGAGAAGCGTGTGAAGTTTCACATCACCACTCCTTGCAAGGGCGCTGCTTTCACGAAACATACGCAGCTCAAGAAATTTATTCGGAACCCCTGTCGAAGGGTATACAGTCACTTTTCACAGGAAAATGTTGCCCTGAATGCTCCACACTTAAAATAATTGTTTTATTTAATTCTGAAAAAAACGACATGCCCAGTTCTCCCAGTCTTTCTGCACAGGGCAGCGTTTCCAAACCCCGGATCATCTCTGCCGCCCTGCGCTGGACCCTTTCTCATTTACCTGCATCTTTCGGTACTCACCAAAGTGCGGCAGGTGCTCGCTGGGGATCATGACAAGCTGCCCTGACTGAGGATCTCTGGCAAACTGGTACGTGGAAGGGAGTGCGCCCCCCATGCTAGGGGGGAAGCCAGGAGTCAAGCCTTGATGCAGGGAAGGGTGGCCAAGTCCTAGGAAGAGAGCAGACCTCAGAAGAGGGCCGCGCCAGGGCCACCAGGCCCACCCAGTGCAAGCACGTTCCACACAGCAAGGAGGAGGGAGTCCGACTGCAGCCGCGCAGTCCTCCCTTCACAACTTGTGCGCCTGCCAAATTGTGAACAGGCCTGAGCGTGTGAAGTCAGGAACTGTGTGCTCCCTGGGGCATAAGCCCCGCTTTGCCGAGGGTCTTGCTCTCAGCTATTTAGGGTCTAAAAAGAGGGTGGGGGAAGCCAACAGCTTTTGTGGTTTTCCTCCAGTCTTCCCTTGCCACAGGCAGCGGGGGACGGGGGGTGAGTGGCCTACATGCAAGCTCGAATTTTGTACTTTTGGAAGCATGGAAACTCTAAGGAACGAGCAGGGACAGATCACATCAAATGCCTTTGCAGCTTTTCTTGTCCGACAATCTGTTTTACAGATGGAAAGTAGTGAACGTGACAGTGATGGAGGAACGAGTGTGAGAAGAGCGGAAAGGAATGTAGACTAGTATGAATGCATACAGGAGGCGGGGAAAGAGGGTCTGGGGGACACGGGAAAGGAGAGGAGCCACGGTGAATAAAGGGCTCCCAGCTCCTCCATCCCAGTCTTGCCCCACTCCCTTCTAAGGCTTAACACGATGTGCATGCATGCAATTGTCATCTTGCAATTGTCACGGGTAACACAAAGCACACAGCAGGCCAGGATGGTTTTACTCCTTCCAAACCTACAACTAAGGTATCAATTTTGCTAACATGCTGGTCAAAGACAAGCTATTGTTTCGACCAATGTATAGTGTGTGCACCGGGGGAGGTTTTTCTGTCCTGTAACCATGAGAACTAGCATTCTGGCTTCTTTCGTTTTTTAAAAAAGGGGAAATTGGAAGCAAGACTGTCACATTTCTATGATTGCTGCCAATTTCAGCGCTCAGGATGGGGGGGGGGCAAAGGAAGCAACTGGGGCCCCCAAGCAAATTCCTAGACTTGGGCACCTCATCTTTTGAGAAATCAAGAGAACCGATAGGTAAATAAAACTGACAACTGTTATGGCTGCCACTGTATTGAATTTATTTCTGTCCTGCCTTTCTGGAAGGCAGGCAGGCAGGCAGCAATAAAATCCAGATTTTTAAAACTGGCTAATTAAAACAGAACAGAACAGCAAATAAAAGGAAAACAAAAAAGGAACAGCACCAACCAAGCAAAGCCCCTTCAGCAAGAGACCAGCTCACATGCCAAAGGCTTGCCTGCCCAGAAAGCGCTCTGACGCCACAGCAACTCCGCACACAACGAGGGCCTAGCCGCGCATCCGTCTCTCCAGACTCACCGTAGGGGTGCCCTGCTAGCCACATGGAAGAGCTGCCGGTCCTGGGCAACCACGGGTGGGTTACCAGGTGGGATGCCGGGTCCGTGGACCATCGCCCTGAGCCAGTCAGAGGGGGCCCCCCGGTCACCATGAGGTTGGAGTTCAAGCCATTGGTGGCACAGCCGGAGGGATGTATCCGAGCAAAATCGGCCAGTTCTTTGCTTTCTCTTGAGGGGGGAGAAAAGGGGACATGTGAGGAGGCTGAAAATGTTCCTGGATCTGTAGGCTGGGCCCACAACGCTCCACTGAGCTGGACCAGGATGCACCTACCGGTGCTACACGGGAAGCAAGAGTGTGGAAATGGTGGAAATGTTTCCTTTTGAAACATTCTGCAGGGTTGTGTCTAAGCACGAGGCAGGACCAAAGGAGCGTACAGTATCCTGGGTGTGGTTGTTGCTTAAAAAAAATTCTTTTCATCTTCAACTGCATGGAAGACTCCAACCAGGTGCTGTTCTGGCTATCGTACTCCCCAAACTCGGAAAGTCTGCCCCGTGGGGCATCTATCTGCCTTCTCTGCTGAGGCTGAACAGCAGGGCTGGGAGGACCTCGTTTGTCGCTTGGCCTCCAAGGTCCAACCGCGAGAGCCGGGGGCCGTGGCTTCTGTGCTGCGTGCAAAAGGACGTGGGTGCCACAACCAGCACCTCCAAGGAGGGCTAAAAGCCCTGGAGGGCGAGCCCCCGGGGGTCAGTGCAGCCTGGGGCCGGAGGGACAGGCGACTGACTTGGTCTGAGAGAGCTCCCCGCAGCAAGAGGAAACTTTTAAGGGAACCACGGCTGCAGATCCCGGCTTCTTGAGCAGCCATTAACCCTGGCTCCCTGGTGTGGACGTAACAGGAAGCGATGATTAACTGCAGCTCCCTGCTCATTTCCCCACTCACACGAAAGCATAAAGAAAGCGCCGAGGAGGCGTATCAGGTCTGCGTGCGCGTGATGTGGACCGAACCAGATTAAGGCAGAAGAGGGGCGTGGGAATGTGGTTAGAGCTGTGCCCTGAGAGGGTCTGGGGCTCCCCGACACGGAGGCCCCGCTTAGGCCCCAGCCTGTGAACCACAAATCGGCAAATGGAAGTCAATAAATAAACAAATAAATGCAGGCAGGCAGGCAGGCAGGCCTCCTTGTCTAGACGAGCCTTTGGACCTCTGAGACGCCTCGCATTTGTGCCGTTGGATTTCCCTGGGTGGCTCTTTTTAATTTGCTCCAGCGCTTTTAATCTGCCATTGCTTTTCTATTTGTGGTTGGTGGTAATTGTAGCTTTACTTTTTATTTTTTTAATCTGCTTTTCTATGGCATGTGTCTGTTGCTGTTGTTGTTGGAGAACGATGGAGCTTCAACACACATATTTATTTTATTACCCCTTTGCTTCATATTTATCCTGCTTTTCAGACAGTTATAATCTCCCAACATGGCTCATGTCAATACGAGGAAAAGAGAGGCAGCCTGCACCTTCCCAGCGGGAAACTCAAAAGGCACCGATGCACAAGGGAAGTGCAGCGGGGAGGAGGGGTGTGAGCTCTCCAAGGCCAGAACAAGGTGGTGTGGAGCATTCAGTTAAGCGCGATCTTCTCCTGCAGCTGTTCCTGCTTGGACAGCCATGGGTGGTGCTTGTTCCTTCTGTGGATGATGGGAGGCAGAAGGCATACGCTTCATATTTCATCAGGAAAAGCAACTTCTGGGGATGAGAGCAGGAGAGCCAGTGTGGTGTAGTGGTTAAGAGCATGGGACGGGGACTCAGAGGATCCGGGTTCTAGTCCCCGCTCAGCCATGGAGCCAACTGGGGGACTTTGGGCCAGTCACAGACTCTCAGCCCAGCCTACCTCACAGGGTTGTTGTTGTGGGGATAAGATGGAGGAGGAGAATGATGTAAGCTGCCTTCAGCCCTTTGTAGGAAAAAGGCAGGATATAAATCGCAAAATGAATAAATAAAATCTGGAGTGCCCAAAGACACCAGCATAGATGGAACATCTGTGCCCATGTCTTGCACCGACAGAAGGTGCGAAGGACCTAACAGGAGGGGCTGGACCAAACGCAGGGCCCATCTTGCCAGCATTCCTTCAGCAGTGGGGGCCGTAAAAACCTGTTCCCCCAGGAGTTGTTGATAAACGAGGCATCCTGTCTCTGCTGCGGGGGAATCAGGACTGCCCCACCTTCTGGCGTGTAAGCTAGCTGTGTTACCTGCGCACGGGTGTCTCTGGGTGCTGGTGGGAGCGTCAAGGCCACAGGGAAAGGCGATGGGAAGCCAGACCTTCCACCGGCTCTGCTGAAAGACCGGCTCCTTCAGGTCTTCCTCTCCCCAACTCTTTCTATTCCCACTGCCTGTTGTAAGGACTGTTCTGCAGCTTTGGGAAGGTTGGCCTGAGCTTGCATATACTGTCCCCCCCTTCCCTCCCCCCCCTTGTTTCTTTTATGCTGCATCTTCCATCTCAAAAGCCTGCAACAGGGGCTACCCTCTTTCCACTTTCGGAGGTTTTTGCAGAAAGGCACAAAAGGCTTCATAAATAAAACCGCAAGGTGCGAGGTCAAGTAAAGCCCAGAGAGTAAGTATCACCTCAGGAGCTTCTCCTGGTCTCGTTCCAGACGACTCGCCAGGAGGTGGCCATCTCGAGGACGTGGCCGGTCATCGCTGCAGTCCTCGTCCGAGCGTCCGTGTCCTGAGATACAAGCAATTCATGGTTGACCTGAGAGCTGGACCAGTGGCTTGTCAACAGGGGTAGATGCTGAGCATCATCTGACAGAGTTCTACTTCCATCCCACAGAACTACCTTTCCCAAGAGTCTCCAGGAGAAAGCCATGCCAAAAAGAGCTGGTTTGGCTTTGTAGCACAAACCTGTATCTTGGGAACTAGGGGAGGCATCAAGGTTGAGGGGACTCTTGGCAGCCTGCTCTTTGGTGGACCATTTCCCACCATTGCTGGACCTTGGGGGGATTACTCGGTAGGGGGCAGCTCTGGAGCTCTGGGCAGCTGGGAGCTGCCATTTAATTTCCCACAATGCCCCTGATATGCCATCTTCCCACCCCTGAATTCCATGATGACCCAAAGCTGTACAACACCAGAGGCATTCGGGGCAATTAAAATGGCGGCACCTTGGGAAAGGGCAAGACTTGCTGGAGAAGACCATCATGCTGGGGGAAGTTGAAGGCAGAAGAAGGGAAGATTCAGTATGAGATGGGTCAGAGCCATAAAAGAGGCCATCTCCAGGAGCTTACAAGCATTGAGCAGGGCTACCAAGGACTGGGCATTCTGGAGGCAGGCCTTCACACGGGCGCCCTAAGCGGGAGACAACTTGATGGCACATCACAGCTGCAAGATACCAGCACCTTTCCCATGGGGGAGAGGGCTACAACAGCCTAAGTAAGAGCTGCTATGGCCACGATTCTCACCCATGCAGCACTGCTCCGCAACTCAAGACGTCAGACTCAGACTACTCTTAACTGGCGGCCGGTCTAGTGTTGTCGTAAAGACCAGCCAGAAAACCAAGATGGATAGTTCGACCCACCTGTCCTGATCGCATGCTCTGCGGGGCTCCGCTTATGATGAAGCACATTCCACATTCTCTTTTATGCAATTGCCTGTCCTACATACCTGGGGAAGGTCTCTTTACTAGACCCCTGCTAAGTAGATACAGCCAAAAGAGAACCTGGGAGTTTACAAGTCCCCAAACACACCAGCAGCATTCACCCTCAAGTCACTGGATAAGACAAACGGTTCTTTAGGGTCTTTTCTAGCTTTATTCTCCCCCCACCCCCATTTTTCAAGCCACTATAAAGATTTTCATTTGGCATAAGCATGTTGTGATTTTGAAAACCGTGACCAGGGCTCTCCCTGGCACATGGAAAGAAAAGCAGCAAATAGGAAAAGAGTAGCTAATTAATGCTGCTGATTTTAACCTATCTCTGACATCCTATTATTATGCTAGCAATCCCCAATACTATTGGGGATTAATTATTAATAGCAATTGTTAATGTTGTTGTTATTAGTTGTGAAGTTGTGTCTGACCCATCGTGACCCCATGGACAACACTCTTCCAGGCCTTCCTGTCCTCCACCATCCCCCGGAGTCCACTTAAGCTCACACCAACTGCTTCAGTGGCTCCATCCAGCCACCTCATCCTCTGCCGTCCCCTCCTTCTTTTGCCATCTAGTGTTCCCAGCATCAGGGTCTTCTCCAGGGAGTCCTTCCTTCTCATTAGGTGGCCAAAGTATTGCAGTTTCATCTTCAGGATCTGGCCTTCTAAAGAGCAGTCAGGGTTGATCTCCTCTAGGACTGACCGGTTTGATCGCCTTGCGGTCCAAGGGACTCACAGGAGTCTCCTCCAGCACCACAATTCAAAGGCCTCAATCCTTCAGCGCTCAGCCTTCCTTATGGTCCAACTTTCACAGCCCTACATTGCAACTGGGAAAACCATAGCCTTGACTATACGCACTTTTGTCGGCAGGGTGATGTCTCTGCTTTTTAGTATGTTGTCTAGATTTGCCATAGCTTTCCTCCCAAGGAGCAAGCGTCTTTTAATTTCTTGGCTGCAGTCCCCGTCTGCAGTAATCTTGGAGCCCAGGAAAAGCAATGGTTAATACTAGGTGTCTGATCCATCAGCCCAACTTTCCTGTTTTTCCCCAGAGTACTTTGCAAATCTGCTAGTGAAGCGAAGTCCAGGAACCGCTGGGGCCACCAAATAAGATCAAACAAAGAGCTGACACTCACTTGTTCAACTTTCCCAAGATTTCGTGCATTTGACTAGAAACGTGAACAAAACTGGATGGGGGGGGGAATTGGCACCCGCCATGGCAGAGCGCCGGTCTTGACATCAAAATATAATTTTCCAGAATGCATGTTTCACATTTCTATGCCATCCATACATACTTCTATTAAAAACAAATGAAATTCAGCATGCACAGTTCAGTCCCACATTCTTCAGAAGCTCAGAATTAACTGCAGGCTGATGCAAAACAGCCAGATATTTTCATTTGGCCAGATCTGCTTTCCTACACAGAATCCGTACTGTGCAAATCAGGAGAAAGAGAGGGAGCACAGCATTCCCAAAATAAATACCGCCCCAAGTTTTATATACAAGCCTTTAAACAAACAAAAGGAAAAGCAACATCCATAACCATGTTGTTGTTGGCATGGACTCATCATACCAGGAATGTTCCGTGGGCTTGTTTATAAGAATATACTGACTGTTGTGCCTAAAGATATACTAGAAAAATATAAAGTTAGCCTTATCGTGTTACCAAAAGTTCGGCAGCTGCAGCGAGCGAGCAAAATGTGTCCAGTTCCTATTTGGAGATTCAACTCTGAGAGATCCTGGAAAGGGAGTTGAACTCTGAGGAACAGCCGTGCTTATGTCTTACACCAACAACACGTTAACAATGCAGCGCACACACACACACACAAAGCAAAACTTGGAGTCAAAACTGGAGTAGGGATTTACTGGGTGGCGCTTTCTGGCACGCAGCTCGGACAAGAGGAAGAAAGTGGGTTATGTATGTGATGTAATAATAATAATTACAGAATACTAAAACAACTGGCGTGTGTCCAGGATTGCAAGAAAGGCACACGGGGCCCCACTTTCCCGAGCGTACATGAGATGGATCCTGACTTATTGTACAGATGGATAAGTCACCTTTTCCAGGGCCAGGCCCTCGAACAGAGAGGATACGGAAGTAAGAACACCAAATCAGAAGGATTAAACCTAGGCTTCCTAGGTCCAATGTAAGCTCAAGGTTTCAAAGATCTGTAACAGCTCAGAAGCGAGCAGCCAAAATCCCATGGAAAGGAAGGCCATAATAAGGAAAGCTACGCTGGAAGAGGAGACGCCTGAAAATGAAAGAGCGACGCAAGATTTGTTGGATAGGAAGAATTGGCACAGGCGGTTGCTGTCTCTTGTTAAGGCCTCGACACTCGACCTCTTTTTTGCAGTGCCCGCCGGTTCCACCGCGAAAAGACACAGCCGTGCATGTAAAGGCTGACCGATTTGGGTTATTTGGAGTGGGCTCAACCCCGCCAACAGGCAGGCTCTGTCCACCATGGGATGTGTCCCCATCCCAACCCTCCCCATTGAAGGTTCTCCATTCATCTCCGAAAAAGCCTCAGGTGTTTGGAAAGTGAACAGATCACGCCACGCCGACACCACGGACACCGGCCCTTGAGACACCACGGACACCAGCCCTTGCGAGCATCAAACGGGCCTTGGAAGCCCTGAAAGGAGCTCAACCAGCCCCGGGGGCGTTTGCAATGTGCATTTTGCAAGCTGCTGGTTGTGCAGAGGGACCCCACCAAGGCACACCACTACCCGAGACGACAACAAGGACCAGCATCCTCGTCCCTGCCTCTCGTGTAACAACACAGCAGAGCTGGGAGGGCCCTCTTCTCCCGCCGCCCCCATTTACAAACCGGCAATTGTCTCCCGCAACTCAATGCCCGGTCTTGTCTTTATAAATACACTGACATGACGCATGAAGCGCATACAAAACTCAATCAGTTATGCGCCGAGTAACAAGGGGAGGCGGGGAAGAGTCCTGGGCCCGTCTCCCTGGCGACGAATGCCCTGCATCAAATACGTGTAGATTTACTTGCCAAATACGACAAGATTAGCCAAGTAAAGCCCTTGCTTTTCTCTTTCTTAAAAGGTTTTGAACATTCAAGCTCCCTCCACTTGGCGCAAGCAAACTAATGTTATTAGTAAAATGTCTCTTGGCACAGAAGGACGGGAAAGGGGTGGAGGGCAGGCGAGGGGGAGAGAAAAAGGAAGGCCTTGTTTCCCTTATGAAAGCCAATGCCATTGCCTAGCAACCGCCCGGGCAGCCTGACAGAATGCCACCTTGTTCGCAGGCTTTTAGTTCTGCTCAGTAAATTACATTTAACGCAGCCGGAGGGCGGGCAGGGGCCATGCAGGAGAGCGGGCGGGAGGAGCCCTTCACACAGGCTGGAACAAACAGCGCTCCTCCGCTGGCTACCAGACTCGTCTCTCGTCTCGAGGCCGGGACAAGAGGGCCGGGGCTGTGGGAACCGGGCGCGGGGAGGAGGAGAGCACGCCTGCCAGCCGCGAGAAAAATGAGGCCCGGCACAAAAGCGGGGGACACGGGTGCCTGTGGCAGACGGATTGATGGCGCTCCACGTCTCTCCCTGGCTAAAGGAAGGGGACGGGGGAGGCAGGCAGCGGGCGCCTCTCTGGCACCAGTGCGAGCGCATCGCCTCACTCGGGGCACACCCAGCAGAGGGGGGGCTGCCCGCGTTCCCCCCAACGCCACACGTCCATGGAGGCATCACCGGAGAGGATGGAGCAACGGGAGCCGCAGCCTGGCTGGAGGGCCGGTAGCTTGGAAAGGCACATGGGCTGGGAGGTGGCGGAGCAGCTGCCCTCCCCGGCCGGCTGGAAGGCCCCCCGCACGGCGCCCCATAATCAAACGCCTTCCTTCTTCCTTTCGCTCTTGCACTTGCATGCATGCGCTCTGGGCAACCAGCACCGAGCCTCAGGTGCGCCAAGTCAGGGAAGAAATGATGATTCCTTCCGTCTAACAAGCTGAATCCACCTGCATTTCAAGAACAGTGTGGAATCCTCCCTTGTGCATGAGAAACCCACATGTGGTCAAGTTTCGATTTCCATGCGTCCTTAGTAAAAAACAGCCACCTGTTCTCAGGTGGAAGGTTGGTCAGGTAGAACGACTAAAATTTGCTGAGCCTAAATCGGAGACGGTTTGATGGCATGTGACAAGAACCATGACCATTCTCAGATGTGGACGTGACCAGAAGGGGCACATTATGCTTTTAAACATAATTCACACGAGGAGGGATTCATCCGATGTAGCTCACACGGAACAGAATCTGAGCTTCAACGTGCTGATATTACGTATGAAATTACAGTATCCCATACAGGTTTTTTATTCCATCTAAGAAATAGATGGGAACCCCTGAGGTCCCTCAGTAATAGGAATTGCCCGTTAATTCTGAACATGGGATTGATTTTTCATGTTTCTGCTTCTTGCTCTTTCCTTTTCCCTTAATGTGGCACCATGTACCTGTGAGCTTTGATGTTTCAAATCAAGTCGAGCCAATAACCGCTCGTATAATCCCAGGGGTACGTGGAAGGTACAATCCTTGGGGTCGCACACGGACCAACGGCCAACTGGAGCCCACGTGGAGAAGGGCCTCCAGCAAAGCCATTCCCCCATTCTTTGTTTCAAGCACCTCCTGAAACACCTCTATTTTAGGAACCCTTTCTGCACTAACGAGCCATGGTTAAAATCTCATTTAACCGACCATTTAATTCTTCAATCTGTTTTAGCTTCTATTTTTCACCATTCCTGGGTCACCCTTTGAAGCAGGATAAAAATTGGGCAAAATCAATGAATAAAAGTACAATGTGCTAGAAAAGAAGGTCATCTACCCCCCAAAATATGTTCATTTTGCAGGGGATCAGGTTACAATGCTGAGAGGGAGCGGGAGCAGTAGATGGGTCTGGACGCAGGGCTTCCCACGTTTCTCTTCTGGGTCTTTTGATGTTTGCATGTGAACAATTCTTTTCTTTGCAGACTCGCTCACTCACTCGCACTGGGTTAATTCAGGAATCTAGCAACCACCTCAACAGAATTGCCTGTGTCTGTGAAGTGGGGCAAAGTTCAAGAAAAACCGTTTTTCAAAAGAGAATTGTCCTTCTACCAGGTGTAAACAGTACCCCCTTCCTGGGGAAAATACTTTTTTTGCCGAGAACAGAGCAAGGTCCTTGGTCCTTCGAACAGTGGTGTCTCTATCTGGACTAGCAGACAGTTTCCAGGGTGGTTTCAGGAGGATCCTTCCCATATTTAAAAAATAGGGACATTGTGAAGGGTGGCATATAAAAGCTTTAATATAATAAATATTTTTAAATTATTTTTGGAGGATGATCCTGGGACCATCAGCATGGAACGCTTCTGCTCTCTATTACTGAGTTATGGCAGTTTGCTATCCCTGCATGTGATTCGTATACCAAGACATGCTGCCTAAAGCAAGGAAGAGACATCCCATGATTTTCCAGTTGCCACTGGTCTCCAGTGCGCAAAATCCCAGTCCATTGGCCAGGCCGGCTGGGCTGTGAGAATAGCAAAGTCATGATGCATCAAGCCCAGCTATTCCAGCATTCTCTTTCCAGAGAGGCTGGCCGGATCCTTCTGGGAAGCCCGGGAGCACCAGCACCACCCATGTTCCCCAGCAGTTGCTTGTAAGGCCTCGAGCACAGAGCCATCAATACTAGAAGCCGAGGATCAACTCCTCCTCCAAGAACCTGCCCAATCCGCTTTTAAAGCCGTCCACATTGGGAACATTGCGTAGCATTCCTTATACCATGGAGACCACTGCGATTTAAAACCCTACAGGGCCTTAGCCACACATCTCAGCAGCTCCTGCAGGACGTGACGTCCTTTACGACGACTCGCAGCAGTCCCAGCCAGAACCACAGAACCGCAGGGGAGGAGAAACGCTCCAGGTACTGCTGGCCACAAAGGTGGTGCCAACACGACTGATTCGGATTCTGGGACCGCCCGCACTACTTGGGAGACGGAGTGTAGAGGCAAGGGGCAGGATGATGGGGCATGTAGCCCAAAACCTCGAGGTCACCTAGCTGGGAAAGACACCAGGCGGAAAAAGAAACCTGACCACTACTCTCAGACTCAAAGGGCCCCGGGCGCAAATAAAAGATTGCTGGGCATCGCTTGTCTCCACCAGTCCCCTGACCCATATTTGATCAATAAATGGCCCGTTCTTTCCTTTTAAACCAGGCAACAGCCAAACTAGAGACTTTAAATAGAATATCCTTGCTGTACACAAACATGCCTCTTGATCCCTTGGAATTATGCATGCCATTTGGGGATTATTTTATAATGGAAAGAAGATAAGTAATGCCATCAATCAACCAATCAATCAATCAAGTCAATCATGCAGGAATGCAATCACCAGCCAGAGGAGTTTCGTCTGCTAGTTTTAAAAGGTGGATGAGGCAGGTTTCACTCTGGAGGCTGATATAATCCTGGACATCCACATCCAAGGAATACATTCCATGGAATGCAGTGGGTTTTACTTATGAGTAAATGTGGAAAGCAGCCTTCAGCCTGGTGCCCAAAACTACAATGCCCAGCATTGCCTGCCATCTACTGGTAGGGCTACAAAAAGTCCTGCTGCAGTTCCAGAGAGCCACTGTCGTGTGGACAAGATGAGACCGGACAGGCTCATAGCTGGCTCCATACAAGGCAGCGATGATGCTCCAAATTAGGCAAATGGCACAACTCATTCTTAAGAGACCTGCTCAGTCTTAAGATGCAGTGTTTGGCTTCCGGAGGGCTAGGACAGAATCCAACCTCAAACCCTGGAATAAGGCCAGCCCCTCTCAGCAAAATGCCCCCGTGACCACCATCGCCTGTGAAATTCTGCAAACGAGGCAGCCCACTCGCGTAAGAAAAGCCTTGTCCAGAAGCACCTCCATCTCTACAAACCAGAAGTGGCAACTTGCTTTAGCTCCTCGAATGGGAGAGCCCCTTGAGCTCAAAAACATTTGGTTTCTGTATAAGGCTGCTAAAGAATGGCTTAGCAGGACTTGAACCAACGCGCAGGAATCGCTTTAGGAAAAACAGTGGGACAGAAAGAGATCCTGGATCCGGATACCTTTTCTTACAAGCCCAGCGTTCATTTTCGTAATACAACAGCGACACCCACTGCCCAGTCCAAGTCACTGCAAGACAGATCCTTAAGGGAAGGTTTTTCCACCATAAACTTCTGTTTCTAATTCTGCCGGGAATAAATATTTGAAGTTTGCATTCAGTTGGGAAGGAGTCACCTGCAATTACAGCACATCCCATAAAAATGAAATATGGCAACATGCAAACAAAGAGGTGTGACATTTGGATTAGCAGGGCCCAGAGGCTCTGAAGCCAAAGCAGGGAGGTGTGACTGTGCTTGTGTGAGGTTTGGAAGCAAATATTCTGTTTAAGAGAGAAAAACCATATGCAGAAGACACAAAATAAACCCAGACTTCTCTCTTGCCCTTCTCAGTTATGAGAAAGTCAGAGGAATGCACACCTTGCCGTGACCGTCTCCGTCTCCAGGAAATCAGAACACTACAAACCACAACAAAAAGCTGAGATCTGTAAATGTATGCCTGTAACTCTTTTTCAGAAATGCACATTTGCTAACCAGGTCTCTGCCACAGTCTGGGCTGACTTGCATCCAGCGCCCTGTGGCATGTGGGAGGAAACAGCATTTCCTCCAGACGAGCCCCCAGTCCCCCAGCTTTGCTTTGGAAGAACAGAATGCTTGCAACTGGGGATGATGGGCATTGTATTCTGAGGGAAAGGGCTTTGCAAAGGCTGGACCAAGTCAACTTCATCTGCATCCATTGGCACACACTTTCAGATCAAGAGCGGAGGTTAGACATATTTGACTGCAAGCGTTCAGAAGGTGCTGAAAACGAACACGCTCAGCACCAGGCTGCTCCGGGATGGGGGGCATTCCAGGGAGTGGATGCTAAGATGCTAAAGACCCCATTCCAAGCTGGATGGACTGGAGCCTGGAAACCCCGGGGACGGCTATCAGGGCATCTCCAGACTGGTCCAGTGGCCAAGCATGCTGGCCGGCAATCAGGCAGAGGTCTGTTTCAAATGCGGGAACACCCCCGAAAAACAGCAGCCGCTCCCCACACCGGCCAGGCGTTCCCTGGGGCCACAGCCTACCTTTGACACTGCTCAGAGAGAGGGTGCGGTCGCGGTCCGCCAGGCCAGGGCCCATCTTGCCGCCGCCGCTGTTGTCCTTCTGCCGCGCCACTGCCACCGCGATGCCCACGGGAAGATGCCGGACCTCCCCTTCTCCCTGCAGCCCGATGCTCTCGCGGCCAAAGGACTTGGCGCTCTCCGGGCGCTCGGGCTCCTTCTTCAGCTGCTTGCCGGCCTGGTGCGGCAGCAGCTGCTGGATCTTGGGCGAGCCCTGCTGGCCGGGGTCGAGCTTCATGTTCCCCAGGCCGCCGAAGGGGCTCTTCTTGCCGCTGCCCTGGCGCGCCTCCTTGGCGAAGCTGCCGCTGTACTTGATGAGGCTCTGCATGGCGGACCCCTCGCCGTGAGGGGCAGGGTGGAGGCTCTCGCCGGCGCTCCGGGGCCCCACCACCGAGGACCGCGGCAGGGTGCTGGGGTCGAGGTACGCCTTCTTGGCTTCCTCCTCCGCCCGGCTGGCGTGATTGTGCTGAGCGGCCAAAACGGCCATCTGGGTGGTGGCGAAGTTGCCCATCTCAAAGGGCTTCCACTTCTGCTCGGGAAGCTTCAGTTGTTGTTGGCTGTGATCGTGATGCTGCCGAGAAGAGGAGGGAGCGGAGGAGGAAGAGGAGGAGGAGGAGGAGGAAGAGTCCAAAGTGCCGTAGATCTTCACTGCCTCTTTGCAGCCAGATCTTTGAAACCGGTCCCGCTCGCAGGCCCGGTGCTCTGCCTCCAGGCCCGGCTTGAGCAAGTCTTTCGAGGCGAGGAACTCCCTGCTTTCCGGGGAGCTGAGCCTGGGACGGCTCAGGAAGGTCTCGGGAGCTGCCTGCTTCTTCAGGGCCATGGAGTTGGCCCGGATCACGGAGCCCTTCTCCCGCAGGACCTCCATCCGCTTGGCGTCCCCGTGGACAGGGAAGTCTTGGGGCAAGAGGCTGCGGGAGGCCTCGCCCAGGGCCCTCTCGGGCAGAGCTTGCAGGACGCCCACTCGGGCCGCGATGGGGCCGTCCTTCTCCTTCGCGCGGCTGTTGTCCCGGGCCTGAGAAGCGATCTGGATAGGACCAGCCCTTTCGTCATAAGCCTCGACGGAAGGCACGAAGGTGGGCGCGATGACCTTGTGCTCTCTCCCGGGCTCCTTGGTCAGCGGGAAGATGGTGTACATGCTGGAATGGACGGGCTGGGGAGGGAAGGCCGAGGACGCCGGCAGCTTCCCGGGCTGGGCCGGGGAGGGGCAGCTGCAAGCCACGTGCAGCGCGGCCACGGAGCCCATCACGGCGTCGCCCCTCTTCAGCCGGTCGGGGTGCGTGTGAGCGGAAGGCCTCATGTTCTCGTCGTGCCGGGTGGGGTCCTTGGCGCAGCGGTCCTGCTCGCAGCCCAGGGCCTTGCCGGGGAGCTCCCCGCCGCCGCTGCAGTTGCTGAGCAGAGAGGTCTGCAGTGGGTTCTTGGACTTTGGTTCGCCGCTAGAGATGCCCCGATTTGGCATGTGTTCAGCGAGGAACGGGGACAAACGCTCCCCGACCTTGACGGCCTTCTCGGGGCCACTCACTTTCCTGTCGCTGTCGGGTTTAGTGTCCTGGGTGAGGTCCACCACGCTCTGAGGCCGGGCCTCCTCTCGCAGCTTGCCCTCCTTCCTGGCCGCGGGCGAGGGGAGGTCACCCTGGCACACCCGCTCCTTGCTGGAGGGGTCTTTCGCACCGTCCTTTGAGCTCCTGTGCAGGGGGCCCAGCTCCTTCTCCCGGAGCAGGGCACCGGAGGGGTGGTTGGCGGCCATCCTCGAAGGGGGGCCCTGTGGGTGCAAGGCCGCCTGCCCTGCGTGGCCGGCAAGGTAAAATCCATCTGCAAGAGAAGCACAGAAAGGAGGGCGTCCTCCTGATCGAGGCCGTGCATCAATCACGTATTACCCTTCCAGCCTAGCATCCCCAACCACGTAAGAGGATGCATCCAGAGACCAATCCAAGGCTCCGAATGAGCATTTCAACGAGGGGGAGCAGCCTTCCGTCCGGCAATGAGCATGCATCTCCTCTCTCTCAAGACTGGAGCCCCTGTCCGACATTCCCTCTATTTCTGATGTTCAGGATGGGAGTGCTTGGTATCCTCCCACCTCAAAAAAATACCCACCAGCACTAGGCACACAGAATATTTGAGGGAACCCCAGCTTTTGCAGAAGCATTGTGTCTTTTTAGAACCACCCTGGTGGGGACCCCAAAAACAGCCCAAGGAAGACTGAGCAGCAGCCACGGGATGCCCAAGGACTGGTGCCGGCATCAAAAACCAGGGGTGATGGCGAGGCAGGTTGAAATGCAACCACTGGGAAGTGGCGGTGAGGGTTTGCGGCAGATTGCTCATAGTTATCCTAAAACTAGGAGACGCTTGCACCACATGAGGCCAGAAAACAGATGGAGATGGTGCGGGCCAGAATCTGAGTGCTTTGCCGCATATCAGCAAGGATACCTGGCTCTCCCTCGTTTCACGACATAGGCAAGAAACGAGCCAATTTTTGTGTATGAGCATTGTTTGGTTCTGGTATGCTCCTCAGCTTTAATTCTAAGTGTCTTCTAATTCTAATCCTCCATGTGCCGTTTAATTCTGGGTGTATCCTTACAGCAGCCCTCCCCGGCCTTCTACCTCCCAGACACGTCTGGACCACAGCTCCCAGAATTCCCAGTGGATGGCCCTGCCGGGTGGGAGTGCTCGGGGTTGGATCCAAATGCCTCTGGGGGCCACCAGGTTGGAGAAGGCTGCCCTAAAGTTACAGAAGCCCCTGCTGATAAATCCTGGGAAGCTAGTGAAAGGGCAAAGCAGATTCCCCCAAGCCTGAAATCTGCCCGCTCTCCTCTGCCTTCACCCAAACCCTTGAAACCCCCAGAGGGCCACCCATTCTGCCTTCTCCAGCCTGGTGCCCTCCAGATGCATTGGCCCCGGCCAGCATGCCCAATGGTCAAAGACATGAAAAGTAAAGCCCAAACTCCCACAGGGCTCCAGGCTGAGGAAAGCTGCACTAGGAGTTTGCCCGCTTTGGGAGCAGAGCTTCCAAGGTCCCAGGGTAGGAATCTTTCCCAGGCATAGTAACTTGACTCCGGGATGCCAAACCTCAGCCCCACAGGATGGGAGCTCTGCTTCTTGCCCCCCTCACCACCAACAGTGGGGTCGTTTCCCAGCTTTGAGACCCCCTTCAAAAATGCTTCCCCTTAATGGGACCGTCTCAGGTGGAGCACAGCCAGCGTCTAGGGCGGGAGGAAGAGAGAGGACGGCAAAGACGCACCTTTTGGCGAGTCGAAGAGGCTATGCTGGCCCAGCTGCGCGAGCAGGGGGCTCCCACTGTTATGGGGCTCCAGGTGGCTCAAGGGAATGTACGACGGATACAGGCCATTCGGCAGGTGGGAGAAACCTGGAGGGAAGGAGAGGGGAGAAGGATGTTAGGCCAAAGCACATCTCATTCTGTCAAATATAAGCAGTGCAAATCCACAAACACGCTCCAGGCCACCTCTGGAGGGACAGCAGACTCGAGTCCAGGGAAGCCTCGGACCCTTACGCTGCAAGAAGGGGCATGTTCAGCCTTGAGAAGAGGAGACTGCGGGGGACATGAGATCCCTCTAGAAGACCCTCAACGGCTGTCGCAAAGAGGAAGGTCAAGATCTCTTCTTGTTGCTGCCAGAGTGCAGGACATGGAATACTAAATTCAAGTTGTGACAACCCAGATCCAGGCTGGACATCAGGAAGAGCTTCCTCACTGTCAGAGCAATATGGCAGTGGAACCAGCTAGTTTCCCACACTAGAAACAGTCAAAGAGAAACCGGACAGCCATCTGAGTGGGATGGTGTGACTTGTTGTCGTGCAACAGCAGGGGGGTGGACCCAGAGTTGGCCCCTTCCAACTCTGCTATTCTATGATTCTAAGAAATCTCTTTCCTTTTTTAAAGATGCTCTTTCCTCTCAGTGCCTCCCCCAGGACCAACCCTGCCCCACCCCCCGGAATCCCTGTTCTATGTGGTTGTGTTGCACCCCCCCCATTTCACTCTCCTTTTGATCTTCCCGATCGCAGCACCAGAAAGGGTGTTTGCTTAGCAAATCGCTGAAAATGGGACCCCAGGGCTTGCTGCTCCTTCGACAAGCCAGAAATGCAGCCACGGTCTGTTTCAGCTCATGATTCCTGGCCAGTGTGGAAGTACGAAGGAATCTCAGTTTGAACAAGACACTCAAGATGGAGGCATGGAAGCCAAGCTGTGGGCAAACGCGTCTGGAACAGCAGAATCGTTAGAAAAGGTGGGCACGGCCTGCTCCCCCCCCCCCCCGTGATATCTTCTGTGCCAAAGGCAGCGCACGCCTCCAGTTCCAACACTCTCCCCGACTCCCCCCAAAGCTTCTTGCACAAGTCGCTCTTTCTCCCCCACAGCTGACCGTGGAGGAAGAATGAGGTGCGGCAGGATCACTGGGCTGCACAGGTTGGTGTGCACAGGTGTGTGCCCACAGGTATAAGCCAGCATCCATCAGTATGTTTTCTTGCACACAGGTGTGCAGCCCCCAAACCAAGGTCACATCTGTCTGTCTGTCTGTCTGTCTGTCTGTCTGTCTATCTATTTGGGGTATTTCTAGGCCATCCATCACTTCCGTCTCTGGATGGCTTACATGCAGCTCTTTGGACTGAAAAGGGTGCTTCGTTCCTTTAAATCCAGGTACAAATACTGCTGCACGTTTAACAACTCTCACCCTTCACACACCCCTAGAGCAGGAGGACACGATTCAGCTGCATCGCTTTTGCGTTTTCCTCCCAGCCACATCCATTTTGTCGAAACCGGGGGCCACCGGCAGCAATGAGCAACGGTTCCCCGAAAAATGCTTCCCAGAAGCGCCCGGCAGGCAGCACCTCTCGCTTCACTCCTTCGGCAACCACATCGGCCACAGTGAGCATCCTGCACACCTGCCCAAAGGAAGCAGGGACTGCCGCGCACGGCCAGAATCTCTCTGCACCTGCCAGGGGTTGCTTCCTCCAGATCTTACACTTGCATGACACAGCTGCTTCGGGTTCTGCAATAAAGGAAGCAGGTCCCACGTGCTGTGTCACACACACAGGGCCTTGGTTCGAGTTTCTCAAACCCTGACATGCTCTAAAAGAAAATTGTGCTTTTTTCCATAGGGTTGCGAGCAAAATGGTAGTTAAACCGGAAGATCAGTTGGCCTGGTTTTGGTCATGATAACAAGTTTTCAGAATCTACAAGGCCACAGATCTTTCATCAGAGTGCAAAGCTTGCTGAGCTGAATCAGACAACCGTTATATAATCTGAGAATGGGAAATTTCATTGCAAAAAGTTGGCATAGTGCTCTGAGATTAAAAGTGAGAAAAGGGGGGTTTACAAAGCTGGTGAAATACGGAGGGTCCTGACAGATTTTCTAGCAGCCAGGGAAAAGAGCAACAGTTACATGCATTTCTTCGGTCATGCTAGATAAATGCAGGACGGGATCCCCAAAGAAATTCAGTTCTCTTGTAAAACAAAAGCAGCAAGGGATCCTGCGAGGACAGCCTTAAAAGCACGTTTGCAAAGTCTCTTAAAATCTCAAATGCTTGAGTTTGTAGGCAGTGGAGCAGGGTGGGTGTGTAGCACTGAGCAAGGTTTCCACGAGGAAACCTCCCTCCTTTTTGCCTTTCCCTCTGACTAACAGGAAATAAACAGAATGACTGAGACCATTATATTTATCTAAATACAGGCAACCATTTTTGTCTGCATTTTTTTTCTTTAAAACATTGCTAGGCTGCCTTTACGGAAAAAGACTGTGCAAGGTAGTACAATACAGTTCTGCCCAATTAAAACCCCAAAACTGTGGTAAGACACCCATAATTAGCAAAATTAACCAACACCAACTATAAAGCATTTAGCCAAGATAGTAATAGAACTGAAAACAGAACTGCTGTGAAACTCCTGGAATAATCCACTGAAAGACCCCTTGGAGATGATACGGATTCATAAAAGCTTGCAGAAATACAGTCTTAAGGATCCCCAGTGAAAACATATTCCAGAAATGTGGGGCCCTTAAGACTTCCCCTTTTCTTGGCTCTCTTCACCACCCTCAGACAATACCAGGTTTTGTTTTGTGAAGAAATGAATCCATAGCTCAGACTGCCCCAGTTGTGCTGTGTACGTATGGGTGTTTACATAATATTTAAGATTCCTACACCAATCATTCCTCCAGAGCTTGCCCTTTTAGCAAAGCAACCTCCAGGGAAACAACCCTAAAAAGAATACCCTTCTGGTAAGGATGCCGTTCCGCAGCCATCAGCTGCTGTCTCTGTAGGCTGGAATGTCAGCTCCATCCTTGGGAACACACTCCGAGGTTGGAGGTGGGTCTCCGACCTCGCAGAAGCCACCTTCTGCCAGACAACCTAGCCAACTTTCCCAGTGCTGCTGTAGCTACGGAGCTGGAAAACTGACCTCAGCACCGGCGTTGGGGTGGCGTTCCGAGGGCAGGGTGCGTAGCGGTGAGGCCTCACCAGGTTCTGGTGTGTCCTCAGTCCATGAGGACAGCAATGAGGATAGCAAAAGACTCAGCCAGCCAGAATCGCCTGTCCTGACGCCTTTCCAGCCTGGTGGCCTTTGGACCACAGCTCCCAGAATTCCCATCCAGCAGGGCCACACCTGGGAATTCTGGGTGTCGCAGTCCAGATGCATCTGGAAAGCACACGGGTGGGGAACTCTACAGGTTTTCCATCATGGGAGAAGCTCGGAAGCAAGCTTTCCCAGCATGCCTTCCACCCCCAAAGCCAATGCTCAGAATTTTCTGAGTTCAGAGGGTTATAGTCAGCCACGCTGGATGGCTCAGCCCAACAGTTAAAATTTCAACAGTAATAACCTAAGGCAAAAACACCAGGAAGAAAATACTTGTAAAAATAGGAAGTCCTCGAAAGGTGCAAATTAGGCAGAAAAAAGGCTTACAACGTCCAGCATGCCAGAGCAGAGACCTTCCTCCTTTATTGGCTTGTCTAATATAAATTTATTGCACTTCCTTCATTTATTCCAAAAGAAGAAATGGAGGCGTCTGCATGCACAATGCCAGTCTTATTTATTAGATTTATACCCTGCTTTTTTCTTACACCAACCGCAAAGCAGCTGAGATCATTCTCCTCCCCACAACAACATCCCTGAGAGGTAGGCTGGGCTGAGAGTCTGTGCCTGGCCCAGTGCCACCCAGTTGGCTCCGTGGCTGAGCGGGGACTCAGACCCCGATCTCCTGGGTCCCAGTCCCACGCTCTTAACCATTACACCACACAGCCTCTAGAACTTTAGGCTAGAATTCAGGAGAGTGACAGGGGGTGGAGCTTACACATCTGTAGGTTAATCTCAAAAATTATGATTAATTGCGGGGGAGATTCTCCAATATAACCCCGGCCTGGTAGATGACCACCTTCTGGAATGTTCCGTGGCTTCCACTTGTGTTTTACGAGGAAACCGAATCAGGGCAACCTGCTACGCAACCAAAACAGAGCTCTCATTTTCCCTGGGGAACAGCTGCTCTGCAGCACGTTTGGATTCCTTGAAAGCAGAGCTGTCGCTACTTTGGAGAGGCCAGGCTTCTGCAAGACCCGTAATTTTTCCCTAATTCCTCGCGCAAACGGGAAAACAACCCTCCACCCCACACCAGAGCGTAGAGAGCAATGTACCAGCGTCTTCAACCTGGGATTCTGGCATCAAAAGCGATGCACCGTTGCCAGTTTAAAGGACTGTGGCAAGCAGATGGGGGAGTCTGGTTGCCAGAAAAGCAAGGGGCAAAGAGAGCTTCATCTGCTTCCCAGTTTTTGTTTCAAATTGCTTTTAACTGCACAGTTACATATACGTCACACACATATCTCGCCTTTCCTCCAAGGAGCAGCATGTGTGCACGCCCCCCCCCCCCCCGTTTTATCCTCACACCTCTCCTCCAAGGCCGGTTGGGTTTCCTGCTAAGAGATGGCAAGAAGTGCAAGGCGAAGAAGCAGCTTTTGTGCTGGGATCCAGGCCTGGACTCGAAGCAATGCCCCCACCCCAAACGCCTGGCCTGACCCGCAAGGACGCCAAAACTACGCACCCTGTTTATGTAGCAATGTTGCTATTCGTCCCCCACCTCTCCAAAGTGAACAAATTCATTTTAAGGCATCAGTTTGCAGGCTCTGTTAGGGTTAGGGTGCCTACATCTGAATTGCCAAAGAAATGCATTGCTAAAAATAAAATGAAGTAAAAATAAAATAAAATAAGACTCTTATTTCCATAGAAATCCATATGGAAATATGTTCGGCCAGATGCAAACATACAAGTCATGGGTTAAATACATGCTTCCAGCACCTCCTTTTTAAAATGGAACTGGATCCAGTGTGATCTTGGGGCCAGAGTGCTGGACTGGGACACGAGAGGCACCGATCCAA